TATTTTTGTCTGCAAGGTGCACAAGTGTGACTATTTTTACAGGACCATTTAACCTTTTCGAATCACGTCCATTCATGTTTTGTGCGTGTGTGTGTGTTCAGTCTTTTTTTTTTTTACTGAAGAGCACCAGAGGGTTAAATGTTATTTGAACACCCAACTCTTTGGTGTGTCCATTTTATTTGCTATTAAAGCCTTTGCTTAAAGGAGTAGTTCACTTTAAATAAAAGAAAAAAAATGGACTTCACTGGGAATGGACTTCACATTTAATGGACTTCACTGGGAACCAAACAGTTCAAGGTCCAAAAGACATTTTCTTTCTTTCTTCAGTCGAAAAGAAATTAAGGTTTTTGATGAACACATTCCAGCATTTTTCTCCATATAATGGACTTCAAAGACAGTTTCAGTGCAAACTGCAAACTGTTCAAAGGGCTTTAAACGATTCCAGACGATGAATAAGGATCTTATCAAGCGAAACGATCGCTCATTTAATAAATAAATAACAAAGTTTAAGTTTTATAAGCACAAATGGTCGCCTTGCTCTGTTCTGTGATGCGCGTTCGTGACTCTTCTGTTCGAACACGTTTATCAAAATGAACGAATCTTTTTTTCGTGTCATTTGGTTCATTCAAAGAATGAAATGAACGAATTGACTCTGGAAAAGACTTGCTTATTTTGATGAACGAGATCGAACAGGAGAGTCACGAACGCACAGAACAGAGCAAGGCGACCTTTTGAGCTTATAAAACTTAAACTTTGTTATTTATTTATTAAATGAGCGATCGTTTCACTTGATAAGACCCTTATTCATCGTCTGGAATCGTTTAAAGCCCTTTGAAGAGTTTGCAGTTTGCACTGAAACTGTCTTTGAAGTCCATTATATGGAGAAAAATCCTGGAATGTTTTCATCAAAAACCTTAATTTCTTTTCGACTGAAGAAAGAAAGACATGGACATCTTGGATGACATGGGGGTGAGTAAATTATCAGCAAAAGTTTTTTAAAAGTGAACTACTCCTTTAAAGACAGAGAATTAAATGTTTTCCTTCCAAAAAAGTGTCTATTGTTCATAGGAAAGCAGCAAATTAATTGCTATTTGAATCAATTAATTTAACAGATTATTTTACTCAAAGCTACTCACAAGTGAACTGAAGAATGCTGCAACTAAAGCCATTCATCCTATATAGTGACACCGTCAGTATGACACAATGCATAATCAAATATTTGACTGATTAAATACATGCACGTATCAGTTCTGTAATTCAGGGGATGCGCACAATGCCAAGACCGATTGTAATTTGATTAATATGTACACATCTAGATGCTTCAATCTCTTTGCCTGCAAAAAAAAAGTTTTAAAACAGACAAATTATTGCTTTAGTCTGGCTGAAATCAAACTTGAAGTGCATGTAGACATTCTGTGTAACCCGAGAAGTGCCATAAAAGCCTAATAATAAGCACCAAAACCGTTCTGTGTATGACAGAGATCCTGACCTGAAGATTCGGGGTGAACGGACACCAGAGAACGACACCCTCAGGGATACACAACGCTCACAGCAGCCGATATTGATCCAGGGGTCAAAGGTCAGGCCTGAGAGACTGTGTGAGGTTGTTGGGATGGTAATTTGTGAGGTCAGTTCTTTAGCATAAACTGTGAATGTAGGACAGGCCCATACGACTAGTAATGGAATGATATCAAACTTTATCGCAGCGCATAAATGAGAAAGTGATTTGTTGGGTACGAATTGCTGCTGTTGTTTATCCGTGGTGCGATTCCTTGACCCAGTGTCTTTCACGTGGCTTACACACACACACATGACAAATACTGTGACAAATGCCCTAGAACAAACATTCACATTTTGAGAGGAAGTGACAAACAGCCACATTAAACAAAAACCCTCACACTCGCCTTCCTCACAGCAGAACACTAATGAGCTTATTCTCTAAACACAACCTGCCCTCCCTCACACACGCACACACACACAACTAATGCTAACAACTCATTGATGGCATTGGGCAAAAAATTGTGGGGTTTTCCGTTTCGTTAGCAGTGTGTTTAAGTAGCCTAAAAAAATATGTTCATGATTTATCACAATTATTTATCTTTCGTCAAATCAAAAAGATAATAATGTGGTTCAGATAACATCATATTTTGAGTTTAATTTACTAAACCAATCTCCACTGTATTAACTCTAATGTTTTATTTCAATGAACTCAAAAAAGTAAGTTACCCTGTTGCCTTAAAATTGTAAGTTAACCCAACAATATTGTTTTTAAAGTATACGTTACACGTGTTTGTGTATTCAGTTTCATTAAACAAATAACCTATTTCACACAATATGGCTAATTATTGGTAACACTTTACAATGCGGTTCATTACACTGTAAAAAAAATATTGTTGGTTTAACTTAAAAAATGAAGTAACCTGGTTGCCTTAAAATTTTAAGCTGATTGAACTGGAAAAAGTGAGTTAATACAATGAAGGAGATTGAGTTAATCATCAGAAATTTAAAATACTAAGTTATCTGAACTAAATAAATTATTTAAGTTGATTCGACAAAAGAAAAAATGTTGTGATAACAAATCTTGAAAATATATTTTTTTACAGTTAACATTAGCTATTATCTAACATGAACTAACAAGCATTAATGTGATAAAAAAAAATCCAGCTGTGCATTCATGTTATTCACAATGCATTAACTAATGTTAACAAATGAAGAGTTCAGATGCAAAAGCCTCTAAATGCCGTTTGAAATTTTCTTCTTTAATGATGATTTTTATCAAACTTGTATATTTAAGTTCAGTAATTTCACTTAAATTACAATTAATGGGTAATAATCATTGCCATTTAAGTGAAATCACTGAACTTAAATATACAAGCTTGATAAAAATGATCATTCTAGAAGAAAATTTCAAATGGCACTTAGAGGCTTTTGCATCTGAACTCTTCAAATACAACATTTGAATTGAATACTAGGCCTATATTAGTAAATGTAGAAGTAGTATTGTTCATTCGTACCTAAACTAAAGAAACCGTATTGTAAACTGCTACCTAGCCTATTATTATTAATCTAAACTACAAAAATAGTATAGCACATGTTGTGAGCCTTTTGTGGCCTGAAATGACAACGCATTACAAGTGGAAATATCCGATTAAAGCCGGCATTGAAAAGGCGTTGCTCTTTTGAGCGCCTTTACATCCCCGTCGTCCCGCTGTGAATGCTTTCCTTCGCTGTGATCCTCTCTCTGCCTCCTGTGGCCTCGAAGAGCCAGATCTCTCCAGTCCCCTGCTCGCTGCGGCCGCGGAGCATCACTGCGCTGAGAGCCGCGACGCGCTGATTGAAGTCCCGACCGCCCGCGACGCCTCGCCCAGCGGGGCAAGAGTTTAGGGGACGCATGGAATACTTATGATGTTATTTAAGGGTGATTTACAACACAAGACGACGTTTGGGCCGCCGCGGAACTGTTTTCCTGTCACAGGTGGATCTGGGTGATTGTTATGCTGGGTGCACACATAAAAAGCCCATTGTTTTCACTCAAATATCACTCACGCGGTGCTTAAACTGTTTTACAGGCTAGGTTTCAAGCAGTAAAACAATTACCAAACTAAAGAAAACAATTAGTTTTGGAATATTGCGAGTAGCCTAATGGATTAAAAACTTAGCCGAGGCTAAAAACAACACTCCTGTCTTGAGAAAACAGGTTTACCATTTGTCTTGATGTGGTTTTATTAGGTGTGGATATTACGAGTTTAGTCCCTGTGACAGCTTCTCCAGTCTCCCTATTAGACAGTCATAAATAACACACATATTGCTGTAATTTGCCCTCCAATTAAAACAATTACATGGCTGTTATTTATTATAGTAGACTAAGTTAAGTTGCATGGTAATTGGCAGTTAGTGTTATCAGATGGGGACCTGATCGTCGCCTATTTGTCTCGTGTCTTTTCAAAATTAGCAAAGAAATTGTGGCGTACACAGTGTCTAGCCTACCAAAACTATTTTGACACTTATTCCACAAAACAAAATGTCTATAAAGGATAGCACATGCCTTTCAAGCAAATATTTCACTAGCCTATAAGAAGTTGGTGTTAAATCAGATATAAAGAGGATACCTGGAAATGTTTAACTTTTTATGTTTCATTTAGTCTGTAAAAGTATAGGCCTACTTTTAGATTATCTTTGAATATTGATTTATTTATTTTTAACCAGTACCAACCCCTTCCTCAGATTCTCATTTCATTGTAAGCATTAAATATGAAAAAGTTTTATTATTTTAAAATAGCAAATATTTAGTTATTTAGGCTTGTGAATTATGGATGAATCCAAATCTAATTATAACCCAGAAGTTAAACGTCAATTTTTCTACCTGTCATGCAAACCCTATATGTTTACACAGACACTTCTACTTTAAATGATTAATCATTATTGTTTTAAAAACATGATCCAAGGGGCTGCAACGATGTCACCCCATAATATTTCAAATTAATATTTCAATACTCTGTCTCACACTGAAGACAATGACTTTTAGTGGCTATTTTGACACATTCTGGTTATCAAACACGAGTGGAACATAACCTTTACAACAACTAGTTAGCTTTTAGGACAACTGGGAATTTAATAGGAACTGTCTTCCACGATAAAATCACCTTCACACCACAATATGCAAATATGGCCAAAGTTAGTTCTGAGAAAATGTCTTTCATTTGTTTGCAGATTTGCTTCGATACATTTTAAAATCCGACAAATGTTTTTTTTTTTGTTTTTTTTTTTTGGCAGCTGTATGATGCATATGATGTGACGCGTGTGTAGCGGAGAATAATAACGCATGTGTAAAATTATCCAGTGCAACCCAGACAGATCTGCTTCATTATAGAGAGACTCATAATCAGAAAAAATGATTGTACACCGGAATAGCGATGATGAAACTCGGTAAGCACTGTGTGTGTGTGTGTGTGTGTGTGTGTGTGTGTGTGTGTGTGTGTGTGTGTGTGTGTGTGTGTGTGTGTGTGTGAGAGAGAGGAACAGAGCGTCCTTCAGATAAAACCAAAGGCTCTGCGTTTGTAATGCGCGAGCGTGTGTGTGTGTGATGTGCGAGCGTGTGTGTGATAAGGAGGTGGGGGTGAGAGACCCCGTTGTGCTTTGACCCCCTAAACAACTCTCCATTTCTCTCTCTCCATCTCTCTCTCTCTCTCTCTCTCTCTCTCTCTCTCTCTCTCTCTCTCTCTCTCTCTCTCTCTCTCTCTCTCTCTCTCTCTCTCTCTCTCTCTCTCTCTCTCTCTCTCTCTCTGGTTTAAAGCTCCATCGCTCATCGCGGAGAGACGCATTCGAGCTCAACGCCTCGCTTCATGGACATTGGTAGCGCGCGAAGGACGCGACATCATCTGAAACGCGCCGCTAACACTGGATACTCGGCCCGCGTCACGCTGCTACAGTCTTCTAAAGGTGGGGGATCTTTACGCCTTCTCATCATATCCTCATATTCATAATACACTACAATTTACACTACCATGGATGTAATCATCCGTTATGGATATAATAACATGATGCATATGCGTTTCTCACTCTAGCACTTGCGCTGTTATTTTGGTGGATACTTTTTTTAAGTGAAATGAGCAATCTTGTCCACTGCTCTCATATGCGATGTGCTTGCGTTTATTTAATAATGTCCACGCAACCTCAAATGCGTTGTGGAGCAGAATATGAATATGGTATCAGTATGCTCATTGTTTATTTCTTCTAGAGAGTGTGTCTTATCCGCCGCGGGTGTGTGTTGTCCTCCGTCAGTGAGTGTGTGAGCTCGGCTTCCGTATCGCATGGAGAAGAGGGTAGGTCCTGTTTCTTCCCTTGCTTTTACACATCCATTTTCCTGCTGTTATGATGCAAAGCTAGTGTTTGATCCTGTAGTGTGGATGTTCATAACAAATAAACACGCGAGTACAAGCAGTGTATGTTGTCTAAAATACAAAAAAGTTACTTCCTATTTTGCAATTGGTGGACACTTAATAATAATTTACATTATTAATTTAGTTGTAAACCTTATTCTATTATATAATGTTTAATATATTTGTCCATGTTTGCATTCAAAGAGTCGAAAAAAATATTCTTTGTAATATTTGGAATAATTTGCATGTAGCTAGGCCTACATTTATTTGCAGACAGTTGCGTTTCCGAAGGCGCTCACACTCAGTGTATCCTCACTGAAATCAATGCACTGTATTGAACATGCAGAAGGCCAGCCTGAGACTGTGTGTAGAGGCAGATGAAGTGTGTAAGTAGGTCAACTTTCGTGCTACAGTGAGCGGCCAAATGGAAACTCTTCTTGTGTTCTGTGTCTTCTTACGAATGGAAGTTAAGATCCTGTTAATTTGGCATCAGTCTATGCGATCTCAAACACAAGCTCTTACATCTGTCCCTGCAACCGCATTAAGAATTGGGAAATTCCACAATAATAAATGGGATATATTTTACATGCTGCTCTACATCACGTCTGGGTTTTTAAGTTTAACTAAAGTATTCACTAAAAGCATTGCCGCAGCATACACAATTACTGTGGTTTTTATATTTAAATATAGTTTGAAACTGAGACTGCAGTGCTTAATAGTTTGTCTATAACTTGAATTATTCACTCTTTATTTGATTACCTGTTCAAATACAGTACAGTATGCGCATCAAAGTTGAATTATATTTCCGTCAATTGAATCCAGCTTTATGGTAACACTTTACAGACCACATTAGTTAACATTTATTTAACGTGAACTAACAATGTACATTTGTTACTGTATTTGTTAATCTTCATTAATGTTATTTAATACAAATCCAGCTGTTCATTATTTGTTCATGTTAGTGCAAAATAATGTTAACAAGTACAACCTTCGATTTTAATATGATGAACTAATATTAATAAATGCTGAAGAAGTATTGTTCATTATTAGTTGATATTAACTAATGTTAACCAATGAACCTTATTGTAAAGTGTTACAGCTACTTATAATGTCTGTCAAAATTAACATTATTCCAGCTCTGGATCCTTTATGTGTTTAACTGCTTCTGATTTGAATTTAAAGTCTTACATAGTCCGTCTTCATAATGGGCACTTATCATTTTAGCTCAAAACTACTTTTTAAATTTAGCTTAATTCATTTTATTATGAGTGTTGGTCGCCGCCAGTGCATTATTTGTTTCACATATAAAATATGTATCTATTTTTTTCATAAAAGCATGTTCATTGGATATATTTTAAAAGACCTCGAATGAAACTGGTGTTAACGTAGTGTGCTAAAAACAAAAGATGTTCATGGTATGTTGAGCATAAGAATATGTGCATGGTTTATATGCTACAGAAAAGGGCTACACTTTGTTTTAGTTCAAATGTATTATTGCAGAGTTATTAGTAGGGCTGTCAAACAATTAATCGTGATTAATCGCATCCAAAATAAAAGTTTGTGTTTACATAATATATGTGGGTGCACTGTGTATAAATCTTTTATATATATATATAAATACACACACATGCTTGTATATATTTAAGAAATATTTTCAAGTATATATAATTTATATTATATATAATTTTATATATAAATAATATTTTTTTCTTAAATATAGATGCATGTGTGTGTATTTATATATATAAAATAATTATACACAGTGCACCCACATATATTATGTAAACACAAACTTTTATTTTGGATGCGATTAATCGTTTGACAGCCCTAGTTATTAGTGATAATAATACATCTTCCGTCTGTCATTAGAAATGGTTCAAATGAATTTCATAGATGTTTTCTGATTATTGATTATTCATTTTCTTATTGTATATCTGACGACAGCAGTAATCAGAAAGGTCACTTCAAAAGCAGCTAATTAGCATAAAAATGAAGGCTGGATGACTCTATGTAATTGTATGCAAGGCTGTTAATTATAAATCAGTTTTCTGTGGAGTTTATGTCCCTGGGTGAATGTTGCTTGGCACTGAAAAAATCGCACATCAAAGCCTCTCCGCATCCACTGTTTATTAAGGAGGAGATACAATTATCAGCGACTTCAAACTGTACAATCAGTGTGTAAACTCCACACACACACATACACATAGTTCACACTAACATAAGGCTGAATTAGGCCATGTCTTATCTTTGAGTCTCATCTCGCCCCGTGTCTCGTGTCTAGTATGAGGAGTTGGTGCAGTACCCAGGCTCTGACGGCATGCCTGTGGGAGGGTACCGGGACGTCATGAGGTCACTTCCTCCGCATCACTACGGCCACACGGTGCCTGACTCCCTGAAACACCACCGGGATCTGATCTACGGGTGAGAGTCGCCATCTGTTTCCTCACGCCAAACATGTAGGAGCGCTGCACACTTAGCCTTCAAATCCTGGGCAGTTTTCATGAATTTGTAATTATGGCCATGTGCAAGTTCAAGTGATTTTGCTCACTTGAAGTTTAAATAATTACACGGTATTTTTCACCTTTTCACACGAGGCCTTTTAGGGTAACACAAACCATATGGGTAGATACATTCTTTTTTTTATTTTCTGATGAAGAGACAAAGTATTTTAGTTCAAGGGCAACTAAATGAAGGAGTAAAGGTGTACATATAGGGGAGAGCGGGGCACAACGTAACGCTTTCTGACTTTCTCAGTTTGTGTAAGTCTAGGGTTTAGAGTATTTCTTTTCCCACATTAATTTCCCACGTCTAGTACAATTATGTGGTTTTGTTTTATTAATACGGTGTATACTTTTTTTCTTGATTTACCCCGAAAGAATGGAAGGGAAATGTGACAACATGCCCCATAGGCGGGGTACATTGTAACATGTGAGGGGCACATTGTAACCTCACCATATGACAGCTTAAAATGCTATCTGATCTAATAAAAAAATATACAAGTCAAACCCTTTTTTTTATAAAATACAATTATTAACTTTTTCATATAAAATAATTTCATTTTATAATAATTAAAAATAAACTAATTTTTCAGTTTGACAACAAACACATCGGAAACATAAAAATAATAATGAATAATTTCTGAACATTGACTCTTAGTCTTTATTTACATGTTTCTCATGTTTTCTCAATAGAATTCATAAAAGTGTAGAATATTGTAGCATATTTCTAAAATGCCAAAATATACAACAAACTGGGGTTTAAACCCTGCTAGTGTCTTCTACTAGTTAGCGAAGCATTAAAGAACTATATCAACTAAATTAAAATAATATCAGATTTGTCTCATTTTAAAGAAACATAAACAAATAGAGACGAAAAATTAACTTAAGTAAGAAATGTACTTTAGCTGGTTAAATAAATGTTCAGTAATATCTTACAAAGATTTCTGAATTTTGGTGCCATTTTTTCTCTATATAGTGTTGAAATGGCAACTAGTAAATACACAGATGTTTTGTAATGCTGGCATGTGTGGAAGTATTTCAAACAAGTGTGTTAAACTAGCCCTGCGTTAAAAAAAAAAAAAATTTACTCACCCCCATGTCATCCAAGATGTCCACGTCTTTCTTTCTTCAGTCGAAAAGAAATTAAGGTTTTTGATGAAAACATTCCAGGATTTTCTCCATATAATGGACTTCAATGGGAACCAAACGGTTCAAGGTCCAAATGAGAGTTTCAGTGCAGCTTCAAAGGCTTTTAAACGACACCAGACGATGAATAAGGATCTTATCTAGCGAAAACGAAGTTTAAGTTTTATAAGCGCAAATGCTTGCCTTGCTCTGTTCTGTGATGCACGTTTGTGACTCGAACTCGTTCATCAAATTGAACAAATCTTTTTTCGAGTCATGACTTAAAGGGTCCTTGATAAGACCCTTATTCATCGTCTGGTGTCGTTTAAAGCCCTTTGAAGCTGCACTGAAACTCTCATTTGGACCTTGAACCGTTTGGTTCCCAATGAAGTCCATTATATGGAGAAAAATCCTGGAATGTTTTCATCAAAAACCTTAATTTCTTAAAAAATTTCGAAATTTCGAAAAAAGCATCTTTTTGAGCAAAAAACGGAGAAAATCTTGTTAAAAAAACCCCAAAACAAAACAAACATTCAGATCGGATTCTGAAAGATGATCAAAACATAAATGGAGTAGATCGAGTCCATCAACACTAAAGCTTCACAGTCCTGGGTTGATATTTCATTCAGTAACATTATTCAGTTTTGATTTATAGTTGTTTTTTTTTTTCATTTTGATCATTACATTACTTTACATAAGCATCTGCTTATATAAGATATTGTTAGCTTCTGCTAATTTCAGAAGTACTCTTTCACAGTGTTGCAGTACTCGAGACTCGGACTCGTCTCGGACTCGGTCTCGAGGCCATATTTTAATGGTCTTGGTCTTGTCATGGACTCGTGTCCATTTGGACTCGGAATTGACTCGTACTCGAACATTTTTTTTTTAGAACTCGGAATTATTCCCGAGTCCACTCGAGTTCAATTGAAAATATTTTTCATGATTATTAATGTATGTTAATAAAATATTTCTTTAAATTGATTGACACGCCCAGTGATTGGTGATTTTCTAGTGCGCAACTGCGCATGACAAATTGTAATAAAATTACTTTTAACACCACCTACTATGTGGCCTTTTTACCCTAAACTGATCCTATTTTTTAAACTCTAAGTAAACTCAGTAAAAAAAAAAAAAAGGATTTCTCTAAGTAAATAAAAGTAAATTAGGTAATCAACCCTCACTGGTCTCGGTCTCGACTCGGACTCAACCGTCTCTGGTCTCGGACTCGACTCTCTATGGACTCGGTCTTGACTCGGACTCGACTCTCTCTGGTCTCGGTGTTGACTCGGACTCGAGTGAGGTGGTCTCGACTACAACACTGCTCTTTCAGAAGATGTGTTATAGCGCCCCTTACCCTATAACAGTGAAAGCACCAAAGCAGGAAATGTCCAACAATGGCAGGGACAACAATGTCATTTGTTTGACTGTTCAAGTGCTTCCGCTGAGAATGAATGAAATTCATCAGCACTCAAACCCACAAAATGTAGTATTTTCAGGAAGGCTGTTTTTTTAACACACAATGTTTGCGAACTACAATGTTTATTCACAATTAAAACTTAACAGTGCCTTGGAAGATCAGTATGGTGAAGTGTCATTTTTGCACCACTAGTGGCACTAATTGGAATTGCAAAAATAAAAACTGTTTTCAGACAGGTTTTCCAAACACTCCCATTGGTCAGACACACATTGGTCCGACCCCCAAACTCACGCCATTGGTTTAGTTGAGCCAGTGTTGCTGTGTTGGACTACTCAAACAAACAAACAATGTTTTGAATTCACCTTTTTTGCCAGATTTTGGAGAAGTCAACCTACAAATAGTTTACTTATAGTTGTCTATCCACATTAATCTGAGATAGGAGAAATGACATAATATCAAAACGATTGTGACATTGTGGTGGTATTAATTTGTGTTCGTCACATAAATCAAAGCTGTTTTGCAGTTTTCACCCTGCAGTGTTGTCTTACATGGAGCATATGTGTGTTGATTCGCAGTCATCCTCTGTTTCCACTCCTGGCTCTGGTATTTGAAAAGTGTGAACTTGCCACTTGCTCACCACGAGACTCCGCCTCCATGTCAAACTCCGCCCACCTCCACGGCATGACCAATCACAGCGACGTCTGCTCCTCTGACTCGTTCAACGATGACATCGCAGCCTTTGCCAAACAAGTGAGGAACTCATGTTGGGTTTGCATGTTTTAGGAAAACATGAATTTTTTAAAACTACTGTACAAACTGTATATTCTATCCCTTACCCCTAAACCAACCCCTCGTAGACAAGTAATAAGCATAATTTAGTATGAAAAAATGTCTTGAACTCACACACAGGTATCTGCAACTCCTTGACTAGTTTAAAATGTCAAATGTGACAGGCTTGTGTCTTGTAATGTACTAGAAAAATGCCTGGTGCCTAACGATTTTTTTCTGTTCACTATTTTAGATTCGATCAGAGAAACCCATCTTTTCATCAAATCCAGAACTGGATAATCTGGTAAAATAATATACATAAGCTTTAAAAATAAATGGCTTCATGTAATTTTGCTAAGGGTGTAACCATATGATATCTTTGCACAGATGATCCAGGCCATTCAAGTTCTACGGTTTCATCTATTAGAGCTAGAGAAGGTATGTTTTGTCTCCTATATTGCACAATGAGTGTTTTTTTAAAGATTAATAAAGCAATTTGGTGACACAATGATATAGTGATGGTATCAATTGAGAATAATATGGCACTTTTTGGTAATATATTATCAGTACTGATGATAACAGTAATATTTAGATGGTGATATAAATCACTTCAAAGAACATTATTATGGTACATGTTGTAAAAACTTGTTTTATGGGAACACATGACCAAAAACTTTCCCTTGATACCATGTTTGAAAATCCTATCATACCATGGTACATTTGGTTACCCAGTGAGCAAAAGCCGTCAGTTACCCGTCTGGGTTAACTATAGACCCGATATAGTCCGGCCATGAGTAACCCACTTCTAGGCTATGAGTAACACACTTCTAGGCTATGAGTAACCCACTTCTAGGCTATGAGTAACACACTTCTAGGCTATGAGTAACCCACTTCTAGGTTAAGAGTAACCCACTTCTAGGCTATGAGTAACCCACTTCTAGGCTATGAGTAACACACTTCTAGGCTATGAGTAACCCACTTCTAGGCTATGAGTAACACACTTCTAGGCTATGAGTAACACACTTCTAGACTATGAGTAACCCACTTCTAGGTTAAGAGTAACCCACTTTTAGGCTATGAGTAACCCACTTCTAGGCTATGAGTAACACACTTCTAGGCTATGAGAAACCCACTTCTAGGCTATGAGTAACCCACTTCTAGGTTAAGAGTAACCCACTTCTAGGCTATGAGTAACACACTTCTAGGCTATGAGTAACCCACTTCTAGGCTATGAGTAACACACTTCTAGGCTATGAGTAACACACTTCTAGACTATGAGTAACCCACTTCTAGGTTAAGAGTAACCCACTTCTAGGCTATGAGTAACCCACTTCTAGGCTATGAGTAACACACTTCTAGGCTATGAGTAACACACTTCTAGGTTGTGAGTAACACACTTCTAGGCTATGAGTAACACACTTCTATGCTATGAGTAACACAATTCTAGGCTATGGGTAACACACTTCCAGGCTGTGAGTAACCCACTTCTAGGCTATGAGTAACACGCTTCTAGGCTATGAGTAACCCACTTCTAGGCTATGAGTAACACACTTCTAGGCTATGAGTAACCCACTTCTAGGTTAAGAGTAACACACTTCTAGGCTATGAGTAACCCACTTCTAGGCTATGAGTAACCCACTTCTAGGCTATGAGTAACACACTTCTAGGCTGTGAGTAACACACTTCTAGGCTGTGAGTAACACACTTCTAGGCTGTGAGTAACACACTTCTAGGCTGTGAGTAACACACTTCTAGGCTATGAGTAACACACTTCTAGGCTATGGGTAACACACATCTAGGCTGTGAGTAACCCACTTCTAGACTATGAGTAACACACTTCTAGGCTGTGAGTAACCCACTTCTAGGCTATGAGTAACACACTTCTAGGCTATGAGTAACACACTTCTAGACTATGAGTAACCCACTTCTAGGTTAAGAGTAACCCACTTTTAGGCTATGAGTAACCCACTTCTAGGCTATGAGTAACACACTTCTAGGCTATGAGAAACCCACTTCTAGGCTATGAGTAACCCACTTCTAGGTTAAGAGTAACCCACTTCTAGGCTATGAGTAACACACTTCTAGGCTATGAGTAACCCACTTCTAGGCTATGAGTAACACACTTCTAGGCTATGAGTAACACACTTCTAGACTATGAGTAACCCACTTCTAGGTTAAGAGTAACCCACTTCTAGGCTATGAGTAACCCACTTCTAGGCTATGAGTAACACACTTCTAGGCTATGAGTAACACACTTCTAGGTTGTGAGTAACACACTTCTAGGCTATGAGTAACACACTTCTATGCTATGAGTAACACAATTCTAGGCTATGGGTAACACACTTCCAGGCTGTGAGTAACCCACTTCTAGGCTATGAGTAACACGCTTCTAGGCTATGAGTAACCCACTTCTAGGCTATGAGTAACACACTTCTAGGCTATGAGTAACCCACTTCTAGGTTAAGAGTAACACACTTCTAGGCTATGAGTAACCCACTTCTAGGCTATGAGTAACCCACTTCTAGGCTATGAGTAACACACTTCTAGGCTGTGAGTAACACACTTCTAGGCTGTGAGTAACACACTTCTAGGCTGTGAGTAACACACTTCTAGGCTGTGAGTAACACACTTCTAGGCTATGAGTAACACACTTCTAGGCTATGGGTAACACACATCTAGGCTGTGAGTAACACACTTCTAGACTATGAGTAACACACTTCTAGGCTGTGAGTAACACACTTGTAGGCAATGAGTAACACACTTCTAACCAAAATAACCTTGAATTTGGTTACATGTCGTTTTTGCCAAAATAACTTGCGAGATGTACGATATTCCATCATGTAAGCAAAGTCAACAGTGATTTCAGGGAGTTTGGTTTCATTTCTTTGACATGTTCTGTGTGTATGACTAGTCTATTATAGGGCGAATGTCTATTACGTGTTCACTGACAGCCCTCATTTTGCCTTGTTTTAGCCTAGACTATGTCTGAATTTACTTTTTGAAAATTGCTTTTGCTTTTGTAATTTTTCCAGTTTCCAGATATTACATTTAGTGTGTGATATTTCTTGAAAATGAAACCCCTGTTTTTAATCATTTTTTATTTCCTTATTTCATAATATCCCTCATGCACGCTTCCCCATATTAAAACTTTGCGTGTTTTGAAACCAAGCCTTCTCTCTCTCTCTCTGTGCAGCATTAACATTCTTTCAGAATGAATGGATGTCAATGAGTCTATTTTCTCTTCTAGGTTCATGACCTTTGTGATAACTTCTGTCATCGCTACATCACCTGTCTAAAGGGCAAGATGCCCACTGATTTGGTGCTGGAGGACCGGGACGGGGGATCCAAATCTGACATGGAAGATTTCACTGGTTCTTGCACCAATCTGTCAGAACAAGTGAGTCTAGGGTGTTAGTGGTTTTAAAGTCCCTTTTTCTTTGTCTATTCACCCGACGGCCATATTTATGGTTTTGGGCATCCAAGACCAAGTCCTGTCTACACAAATGGGAATCCTGAAATCTCAAAAGCTGCTTGCCGAACTCACTGTAGACCTTATTCACAGCAGCGCCAGCAGCAGGCTGTGAGGGACAGACATGCATCTCTTCAGTGGGTTGTACTGTTATTTACTGTTACTTTTTGGATTGTTCTGCTGACAAAACACCACAAAACTATCTTCCCAGGAAATGTCAGTAGTCAAAAACCCTAGATAATAGAAGCTGTGGAAAATTATAAGTGATCTGGATGCTTCATACAGGTTTTCTGAAAACCCATTAAAAGCACGGCAAGTGTTTCACACACAGCCTCGCTTTCATATATGTCATGGCCCTGCTCTGAATAAGGTGTATTAAATGGCATATTTTAAATCAGCAGCTAAATCTGACGTGAACGTAGATTCTTATGAAAGTGAATTGAAAGCGACATGAAGAATTTGTGCTCTGCATTTACACAGACACAGCAGTGACTATAGATGCAGTAACATAGTGTCGGCCCAGATCCGGCCAACATCTGGTACATGTGGATTCAATGCGTGCCAGATGTGGGCCGGATCTGGGCCGACACTATGGTGCTGTCTGAGTATAAGCGCAGTAATTAAGCATATTTATGGTCAAATAGCATTAACAATAGCCAATACGCACACTCTAAAAAATGCTGGGTTGTTTTAACCCATAAAATATGGACAAACCCAAAAGTTGGGTTAAAAATATAATTTAAACATTTTACCCAAATGGCTGAGTTTGTCCATATTTGACCCAAAGATGGGTTAAAACAACCCAGCATAACCCAAATTTGGGTTAAATATGGACAAACCCAAATGTTGGGTTAAAAATGCCATTTAAACATTTAACTCATTGGCTGAGTTTGTCCATATTTGACCCAAAGATGGGTTAAAACAACCCAGCATTTTGTGCGGTCCTGCGCACACTGACTGTTTCTATAGCAAACGGAGCTTCTAACGATCTGATGACTCAGCGATTGGCTCTTTTATCTAGAAGGCGGGGTTTGATCCGCCAGATATTTGCATTTCCCCCATTCATATGAGTGCAGCATCTTTCTGTGTCTAAAATCTGTGTGCGTGTGTGTGTGTGTTCATGTGATCTAGAATCAGTCTTGGTTGCGAGACCCAGATGAGTGTGTGTCGACCCCCTCGGGCACCCCGAGCGCCTCCTGTGGCCTCACCTCACACAGCGCAGAGAACTGCAGTGATGCCGGTAGCCATTTTACACACAATCAAGTACTGGTTACACTGCATACTGTTCTCTTCAAATATTTTGTGAATTGTATAAACTAGATGCAGTAATGAATGTTAGTATGCTACGTCGTTGCATGTTTAATTCAATGACTAGCGTCCTGTTATTATCGGTCCGATCTGATGGGATATTTCATCATGGGGTTTCAGGTGATGGATTGGATGGGAGTGTGGCATCGCCCAGCACGGGAGAAGAAGACGAAACGGACAGAGACAGACGAAACAACAAGAAAAGAGGAATCTTTCCCAAAGTTGCAACAAACATTATGAGAGCATGGCTCTTTCAGCACCTGTCGGTAAGATTGAAAACCAATTGATTTACAGTTAAAACTAGGGCTGTCAGTTAAACGCGTTAATAACGGCCCATTTTAACAGCTTACATTTTTTATCGCGCGATTAACGGCCTCGCAAACTTTTTCACATGCTTTTGCAACAGGACGTGGCATATGCGTGACGCTGCGCTATGAAACCCATTCATTTCAATGGCATGTGCCACCCGAGGACGTTTTGTTGCTTCGTCGACCAAAGCGCAAGCGGATCTAGCTAGCCTGGAAACAAAACAACAGGCACGCCGCACACACTTGTTTGGGTCTTCAAGCCAGCCAAATAGTTGGTTAACGTTACGTTTTGAGTGGATGACGAGCGTGAGAGATTATTGAGAGATTATTTGCTATAGGTGAGAATGTTAGTGTGAAATTTAACACCGTATATGCCAGTGTTGTTTTCAATAAAAAAACATTTGCACGAAGCAAGACGATCCACTCTTCCATGTTGATAAGAGCATTGAAATGAGCTAAAAATAATGGGACAAAAAGAAATCAAGAGACATTTAGAATATATAAAAATGTGTTAATCGCAAGTTAACTATGACATTAATGTGATTAATCGCAATTAAATATTTTAATCGTTTGACAGCTCTAGGTAAAAGTCCCAAAGTGTCACCAGTAACCAATGTTGAGGAGCATGTTTATATGTAAATGCATTTTATTTCATTATTGAAATTATATGCATTTAATTATATTATTCATTATATGCATTATTTCATTACTTGTAACTATTTGTGTAACATTGTTACAAATATATTTGTCAGTATTTAATAATGTGTACTATTTTACCATGTATGCATTACTATCTAAATAATGATGCAAATTCAAAAGTGAACGCATTGCTTAACTTGTTACTTTCAGGAAGTAATCCGAGTATGTAAATATAAACTGGGTAACAGTGCAGATGCCAATTTCTGTACGCTCACAAAAGTCACACCATTAACCTAGGTATAATTACATTACACACCTTTTTGTCCTCTCTCAGCACCCGTACCCGTCTGAAGAACAGAAGAAACAGCTCTCCCTGGACACGGGTCTCACCATACTGCAGGTCAACAACTGGTTAGTAATCGCTCTCTCTCTCTAATAATCAACCACTCACATTACCTGGCCTCATCTGGGCATATTTACAATCATGAGCAATGTGTGATTTATATGTATATTTATTTATATTATATTGTATTTACTTTTTGTTCTGCATTTTTTGGTGTAAAATGGATTCACATTTTCTAATTGTATTTACATTAAATGTGGTTCTTAAATTTGGTCAGCTATTTTTGCATTCATAAAAACAAACCGATTTGTTTGCTCCTGCTGTCTGCGCTCAGGTTTATAAATGCCAGGCGCAGAATAGTCCAGCCAATGATTGACCAATCAAATCGCTCAGGTAACATAAAGTTATACTGCATTTGTGCATGTTTATCTATTCTAGGACTTATAGTAAACCAACATGTGTTGCTCTCTGCACTAAATAACATATATTTGTGTGTGTTTAGGCCAGGGTGCCCCGTACAGTCCAGAGGGGGCGGCTCTTGGAGGATATGGGTTGGATGCTCAGACTCATTTAGGTCTTAGGACAGCAGGTGAGAGCATTGCTTTCAAAGTTTCTTTTTTGTACATGAGGGGCAAAAAGTATAATGTCGGATGATGTCTAAAGTCGCATATTCTGTATTCAAAATGAACTCTTAGGGCCCTATTTTAAGGATCTAAGCTCATGGTCTAAAGTGCACGACGCAAGTGCACTCAGGGCGAGTCCGAATCTACTTTTGCCAGTTTAGCGATGGGAAAAATGGACGGCGCTCCCGGCGCATGGTCTAAAAGGGTTGTCCCTATTCTCTTAATGAGTAATTGGTGTGTTTTGGGCATAATAAACCAATCAGAGTCTCATTTCCCATTCCCTTAGCTTGTGCTATGGCGGTTTCGCTATTTACATGGCAGAATTTGCAAGCGGAAAAACTGAACGGATCTGCTCGTGCGCGAGGTTAAAATGTGAGCACGCCATCTACGGGACAAAGTTTGTGCGTTGTGGACCCACCTATAGGTGCATATTACTCATATTACTTTAAAAAAACAAAAAAATTCTGCACCATTGACTTTAGACCAGGTTTTTGTTGGTCAATGCTGCTCAGTCTACTTCAGTTCCTCAAATAACGCGCCAACAATACCCATGAACACACCTCGTTTTCAATCCAGCAGCCCATGGGCGCACAAATGGGCACAAATGCATTTGCTATTTAAACAACATGTCGCAGGACGAGAAAATGATAACTGCGTCGGGCTGACACTAGCAAAAAACACTGGCTCTGCATTACACCGGGTGTATGATAGGGCCCTTAGTTTCCCCTCTAGTGACAAGTTTTTCATGTTTTCAATGTTATACGGTAGGGGAGCGTTATTACGCATCTTCTGAAAGAGTACTGAATATCCAGATCCAAAAACAAGCGATAGAAGACGGCCTAATGTTACTGAATGAAATGTCGACCCAGGATTAGTTATAGGCTTTGGGGGTGTTGAAAGGTTTTTTCTGCCACTACTTATTCTGTGTCAGTCCAACACATGACATCATCTAAAGCTGTTAAACAGGCTGGTTGTTTGCGAACACTTCCTTTGTAAGACTAGGGTGTAGGGGTGTAACGATACCCTCATTTCACGATACTTAACTCATGATACAATATTATTGTGATACTCAAGTAAAAAGTTATCAAAAAATGTACTGTTGTTGATTAAAATGCTAAATTTGTATTACATTGTGTATAAATGAACAGTGGTGGAGGAAGTACTGAATCTCAGTACTTAAGTAAAAGTACAAATAACCAGATAAATATTTACTTTAGTAAAAGTAGAAGTAACACAATGACAAACATACTTAAGTAAAAAGTACCTGATTTTAAATGTACTTTAAGTATTAAAAGTAAAAGTACGTGCATAATTTATTTTTTTAATTTCTATTTTCTAATGATTAATAAAACATTTAATTCTGACTCATTCAACCTAATACTCCTATAATGATGTTCAATAATGATGGAAAAAAAATGTTGTCACCATTTCTGAAACAAGCTTGCAATTAGGCAATATACACATCATGCTTATCCTTACTAGCAGCTATATGTTAATAACTATGGCAGTAAACATATTAATTTATGGTGTAATTCTGAACCTCTTGGCTTGCCATAATCCTAACCAAACGTATATTACACACGGTGTGTTTCCTATGCAAGTAAAAACAAATTTTCGCGTATAAATTGCACGATAAACACACTGCGTGCGAGACGCATTTAGTGTGACCGGGTTGCTATGGCGACCAAACGTCACTGGTGAGACAAACGTGCAACGGACAGACGGTCAAATTACGTTTTGGCAGGGGAAAAACTGATCAGAAAATGTAACGAAAATGTAACAGAAGTTGTAGAAAAGTAGTGGAGTAGAAAGTATAATAATTGCTGCAAAATGTAACGAAGTAAAAGTAAAAAGTATGCACTATTTATTCTACTTAAGTAAAGTAAAGATACGTGAAAAATGTACAAAGTATTTGTACTTCGTTACATTCCACCACTGTAAATGAATACGATTTTGACTTGGTGCACAGAACAATAGAGACGCCAGAATAACAATATTCATGACTCTGAAGCTGAAAACACAGAATTATTTTAGACGAATATGATTGCGCTCTTTCACTGACTAGATTTTAAATAACGTCGCCCACTTTTTACTGAAAACAGACATTTGGCATTATCAGGACCCACGAATATTCCTCCATTGCATTATTATACATTGTATTCAACATTAGATATAATAGTTGTAAGACTGGAAAACTGGAACTTAGTCTCAGCAGAGTCCTCTGAAGACAAAGGACCTTGCTTTCAAATTAACATGTGAACAACACACACACTCTTGCAGAAATCATTCACACAATAATTTAAATTCACAAGAATCTTTAAGGATTGTTTAGTATCATTTTGGAGGTCTCAGGGTGACTGGTAATAATGTCTCATTCCCAAAGAAGTAAATGTATTCAACATTATATATAGTAGTTTGATGTAGTGCTGACGCTAAAACACTGAGGTGAACTATACACATGCATTTTTGTATTGCGTTACACTTGGGTGATCTACCTGTCCTCTCAGGATTGACTCTTTCTCTCTTCCTCCACTGTCAGGGCTTCAGGGAATGCCCACGGATTACCCCGGGGCCCTCCTGCCCCAGCCGGGATACCCCCACGCCGGCCCGTCCCTGCACCCCTACCCCGGCCCCCACACTGCCATGCTGCTCCACCCTCCCCCCCACAGCCACCCCGCCGAACCCCTCATAGGACAAGGCCTGGACATTCACGCCCACTAACCGAAACTCTCAGTCCACACATAATGACTCTGAGAATGTCTTAAATGCACTGACCTGGCATCATATTAATGTATCTCAACGCTCATCTCAAATGCCTGACAGACTTGTTACATTCCTCATGACAATGCTCTGAATGCACTGCACCCAATACATCTAACCACTAGTTTCAATGCACATCGCAGCGTTTGATTGAGTATACCCATGTCTTCCTATGGCCTTAGGGGGGATCTCCCTTCATCGAACATAAAGGCCTTCATCGCCTTTCTTGCCTTGCCTCCGAAAACCCTCTCGAGGAGCACAAGTGGAAACACACAGGATATACCTCCTCAGCCAGGGCCCGAGAAAAGCAGAGGTCCTGAGATAGTCTTCTGTTCTGTTGCACCGAATCCTTATAACTGCTGAACATGATTAATAAAATCTAAGGGTGAAGCTCATGAAACCAGGTCTCGTTTCACGCCAAAATCAAAAAGAAAAGATAGAAAACCTATTTAGAGACAATTACGATTTCTTTTTCAAATAATTAACGAATCAGAACAAATAATTGCATTTCCCCTCCCAATAGTGACCCATTGGTGTAATAAAGTTTTTCTGGGGAAAAATTTTTTTTATTTTTTATTCACATTTTTATTTCTTTTGATTTGGGGGTGAAACTTATGGCATGGCGAAGGAAGGAAATATGAGATGGGAGGAAAGTTATTTGTCAATGCATTCACGTTCTCTCCCAAAGAACACAAATGTTTTGAGAGTGAATGCAAAACATATTTTCTCATATTTTTTCCATCACAGATTTTGAAATGTTCTTGATAGGTTTCATGAGCTTTACCTGTTAAAAGTCAGCCAAGAGTCTTTGTCTTCCTGACCGAGGGCCGTCACATGCGTTTCTCTCAGTTCTTCTCTTTAGAAGTCAGTCTCACTTTTATACATTATTTAATTAAAAATGTTTGTTAATTGTTTTCGTTTGTATTTATCTGTGTCAGAAATACGGCTAAAGTTACAATAATCCGAGCGCCACGTATTTTGGATTATCTGGATTGGATAAAGAAGTGAATATGTTCTTCAGTTATTTGAAGGTTGTGTGAATGTTTACCCGCCGAGGTCCGACAGGCACGTTTTTGGTTTGCTCTAAAGGACCTGACTCGCATCATCATCATCATCAATATTTCATCCACTTTTTTCACACAATACACATGTATTTCTGACTATACTTTTTTGGAGATTTTGTTGGAATGCAAAGAAACCTGAGCTCTTTTTTGTCCCTCTCCTGTCTGCATTAAAACATATGATGTGACTGTTGATGATATGGCATAAGCATCATTATATCAACAAAACATTCAATTTGAAAAGTTCAAAGTCAATTTAACTCAGATAATTAATTAGATACTTTTCTAAAGCCAGACATATTTGAAGAGCACAAATCCACACAGAAAAGAGACAAAAAAGTGTTTATGAATGAATTATACAATGGTTTAATTGTCTGACATTAAATACAAAAAAAGGCTGAAAAACGAGGACATTTGAATTTGAGAGAAGCACCATTTAAACTAATTCATTAAAATCACTGCTGCTTTTTATTTCTTTTAGCCATTTTGGGGGCAATTTGTATCTCTTTTTTTTTTTAAACAGTATCAAGGAAATGACATGAATTGCAGACGAAATATAAAATAAATAAAAGTTTCTACCCGTGGGTTGGCTTTTACTTTCCTTGTCATCACTGGCAAAATGTTTGACACGCACCACGGCTGGTTTCCCCGTCGACCCCCACACAAGCCCTGTGTGAGAGACTCAGCCCACAGCAGGGGTCAGAGGTCATTCAGGGGTCAACAGGAAGAGGCCTGTCTCTCTGACCCCGTAAGGTCACCCGAGTCCCTCCGAATTCATTTATTTTCCTGATTATTTTTGACCATCCATTCATTAGCTTTTCATTTGAATTTTTTTTTTTAATCTTTGTCCCTCAAGTAGACAAAGTAGAAATATCCCTTGATAAGAAACATTGTCTTTCTTCATCTGTAATCTAGTATCTGTAAAACTAGTATCTGTAAAGTGTCTAGTATCTGTAAAACCATATTTTTCCATCTTAAAAACATATCCAAATTACGCCATATGCTCTCACTGACAAATGCGGAAAAATTTGTTCATGTGTTCATGACATCAAGGCTAGATTATTGTAAACCAGGAAGTATGACCATATTGATTGATTGACTGATTTAATTTGACCATATTAGCCTGGTTCTGTCAACTCTGCATTGGCTCCCTATTAAACATCATATACATTTTTAAATATTGCTAATTACTTACAAAGCATATATATATATATATGTGTGTATATATATATATATATATATATATATATATATATGAAGAGTTCAGATGCAAAAGCCTCTAAATGCCATTTTAAATTTTCTTCTTTAATGATGATTTTTATCAAACTTGTATATTTAAGTTCAGTAATTTCACTTAAATAACAATTAATAATTAATTATCATTGCCATTTAAGTGAAATCACTGAACTTAAATATACAAGCTTGATAAAAATGATCATTCTAGAACAAAATTTCAAATGGCACTTAGAGGCTTTTGCATCTGAACTCTTCATACTGTATATATATATATATATATATATATATATACACACACACAAATACCAATGGATGATTATTATTGTCATATACCATGGTATGTATGAAGATGGTTGTCAAGCACCTCCAGTTTATAATTATACATCACTGTTCACAGCACTATCTCAGCAAAATTGTTGTGAACAAGCTGCTGAAATGATACACTCACATAGGCCCGTGACAGAAGAGGTGTAACAGTGTGTGTGAGACAGAAAGGAAAAATCCAGGCAGTTGTTAATGATCCATCAGTTGGTTTAATGTAGAGAATGATTGGTATGAAGGTGCTGGGGTACATTTTGCCACCGGCACTTCCCTATTTATCTCCATTAACTGTGGCTTCATTAAATCTCGCGCTCCTCACAAAGCTGTCAATCAAAGCATCCAAAATTCTTCAAACATCTGTGTATTCAGCGATACGCCAGAAAAGGCCTTAATGTAGATCCAACTTATGAGTGAAAATGACATGCATGTTGTCTATATTATATAAATTAATTTTTGGATTTTGCTGCAGAAACAGGTTAATTATATGTAACATTTAAGTAGACCATACCATAGTACTGAGACAGCTCTCATTAGAGTCACAAATGATCTGCTCTTATCATCCGATCGTGGTTGTATCTCACTATTAGTGTTACTTCATCTTAGTGCTGCATTTGACACAATTGACCACAACATTCTTTTAAATAGAAAACTATGTTGGCATTTGTGGAACTGCATTAGCATGGTTTAAATCATACTTATCTGACCGTTATCAGTTTGCAGCAGTAAATGAAGAGTTATCTTATCGATTACAAGTTCAGTATGGCGTACCACAAGGCTCAGTACTAGGACCGCTACTATTCACTCTGTACACGCTACCATTAGGAGATATCATTAGGAAACATGGAATTAGCTTTCACTGTCATGCTGATGATACTCAGCTGTATATTTCTTTAAAACCTAATGAAACTTACCAATTCACAAAATTAACGGAATGCATAGCAGATATAAAAAATTGGATGAGTAGTAATTTCCTACTGCATTGGCTGCCTATCGTATAAATGTTAAAATATTGCTGATTACTTACAAAGCACTAAATGGTTTAGCAGTACTTGAGCGAGCTCTTAACTCTTGACTTAAATTTAGACTTAATGCTACATCTGAATATATGGGGATTGTTATCTGGTTCCTTATACATATGCATTATTCTAAACAAACAATTGTAAGAATGTAACAGTTAAGTGCTAATTGTTTGTGTTCACCATTCACAATAAACTGCCAAGTGATGTGAACTGATTTGTGTATGATGTGTGTAGAGGAATATGAATTATTACACAGTTTTCTGTTGTTGTTTTTTTCTTTTTCAAAGTGTAATGTAATAAATGATCCCACCTAGGCTGATTATGTATTATCTGTTCAAGAAACATAAGAATTGATACAAGAGACCAAAATATACTGCAGTCCACAAAAAAATAAATAAAAAATGTATAGATAAAAAACCTGTCCACATAAAAAACAATGACAAATCTATGAACAACACAATAAGAATTCAAAATCTTCAATGTTTTTGGTAACACATGAACATGTACAATAGTTCCCCCTAGTGGTCACAATGGACGGTAGAGAATTGATAGTATAGGCCCTCCCTCATACTAAGAGCCGGTTCCTATACCCTAAATTGTGGTTATAGGTTACACATGCATGTGAAAGGAAAGTGTACAAGACTGTCCCTTCTGAGCACATGAAATCCACATTAATAACACTCTAATACTGCTTCAGAAACTTTCCAGTGCAGGCAAAATTAATTAGATATAACTTGATAGTAAAATGTAAAGTTTTGGAAATTTTGTTGGTGGAGAGATTTGGTGTTGTAAAACCTTTATACATTGTGTTTGTTACATAGAGACTGGACAGACTCTTTATTTTAAGAGCATTGAAAATCATCATAAATAAAGCTCTTGCATTTTAACAACACTATGTTGTAAGTATGTCCCATCCGGTTATCAAAATGCATACGTGCACTTGACTTGCAGTCTTTGCACCTACTTGACCACTTCGGCCAAATACAGGAAATAAGTCATGAAAGCAGACAAGGTGTGAATGCCTCAAGAGTGGGTATTGGGACAGGCCCTTAATTCTGCAAGGGTATTGGATGACAGAAAGAGGATATGTCATATCAGCAATTCAACACAGTCACTCAACGGAGGAATTTCATTAGTTTCATTTCCTTGTTATCTGGACGAAACAGATGACGTGTGCTGGTTAAGATTTTCCTCTTGTAAACCTGATACATGTTGTTTGGCTCCATTTTGAACATTTTGGAATAAATTAAAGCATTCTGTGTCACTGGATTACATCTACATGGTATTAAAACGGAAGTCATTTATCAAATATACTCATGAAATCAACCAATCAGCATGTTCAGCGCCCAAGTCCCTCTCCTAAAAGTTCCTGAACATTGAACAAGCACTACCTCCGCGAGCAGTGACTTTCTGAGGGGGACATTTTCACCCAAAACATCATTTAGACCCTGGATCCTGCGGTGGAAACACACCCCAAAGTCCCTAGTCCCACGGTCACCCCAAAGTTCCTGGGGAAAGTTCCTGTGGTGGAAGCATGGCTTAATAAGTCCAAAGTTAAGTTCTTTGATACCCCTTGCTTATTAATTCAGGATCCTGTGATTTCCAGTCATCTTTTCTCCCTCAGTTCTCTCGGGACAGGTGAGGTCCAGCGTCCCTGGTACCTGTTCTCGACCTGCACTTCCCTCCTCTTCTTCCTTCACAGCCTCCAACTCTTCATCCACGCCGTGGGTGACGTCGCTCAGACTGCTGGACCCCATGCTCTTATTTAAAGAGTTCCCCTCCTCAAGAAGAGGCTCGTGCCTCCGGATGGTCCTGCGGTTTCGGCTGTGGCGTGATTGGTTGCCGTGAAGTGTGCGTCTGCGATGCCATTGGCTGAGAGACTGGTGTGCTTCTGCACTGAGCTGCCGCTTCGCTAGACGAGGCTGGTAGCTGCTGATGTAAAAAAGGGCAGCGTAGAGAGACGTAAGATAGTACCCACCTGAGAGGAGATGGAGAAAGAGGAGCACGTCATGCACAGCAATGTGGGAATCTTTAACTGCTACACCCTTCCTGGGCCACAACACCATTAACGGCCATTCAAGCATTCTAATGCAATAAAATGTACTTTTTCAAGCAACAACTACATCACAAAAAACTCCATCCATCCATCTCTCCAACCATCCATCCAACCATCCATTCATCCATCCATCCATCTACCCACCTAACCACCTAACCATCTACCCATCCACTCACCCATCCATCATCCATCCATCCATCCATTCATCCATTCATCCAGCCACCCACCCACCTAACCATCCATCCATCTCTCCAACCATCCAACCATCCATCCATCCATCCATCGTCCATCCATCTACCCACCTAACCATCTATCCATCCACCCATCCATCCATCCATCCATCCAAACATCCACCCACCCATCCATCCATCCATCCATCCATCCATCCATCCACCCATCAACCCACAAACCCACCATTTATCCACCCACCCATCCATCCATCCATCCATCCATCCAGCCAGCCACCCATCCATCCAAACTTCCACCCATCCATCCATCCACCCACCTAACCATCCATCCATCCAAACATCCACCCATCCATCCATCCTTCCATCCATCTAACCATCCATCCATCCACCCATCCATCCACCCACCCACAAACCCACCCATCTATCCACCCTTCGATCCATCCAAACATCCACCCATCCACCCACCCACCCACCTAACCATCAAACCATTGATTCATCCATCCATCCATCCATCTACCAACCTAACCATCCACCCACCCACTCACCCATCCATCCATCCATCCATCCACCCACCTAACCATCCATCCATCCATCTCTCCAACCATCCATCCATCCATCCATCCATCCATCTCTCCAACCATCCATCCAACCATCCATCCATCCATCTACCCACCTAACAATCTATCCATCCACCCACCCACCCATCCACCCACCCATCCATCCATCCATCCATCCATCCATCCATCCACCCACCCACCCACCTAACGATCCATCCATCCACCCACCCACAAACCCACCCATCTATCCACCCATCCATCCACCCATCAACCTACAAACCCACCATTTATCCACCCATCCATCCATCCATCCAGCCAGCCACCCATCCATCCAAACATCCACCCATCCATCCATATATCCATCCACCCACCTAACCATCCATCCATCGAAACATCCACCCATCCATCCATCCATCCATCCATCTAACCATCCATCCATCCACCCACAAACCCACCCACCTATCCACCATTCCATCCATCCATCCAAACATCCACCCATCCATCCACCCATCCACCTAATCATCCATCCATCCATCTCTCCAACCATCCATCCAACCATCCATCCATCCATCCATCTACCCACCTAACAATCTATCCATCCACCCATCCACCCATCCATCCAACCATCCACCCACCCACCCACCTAACGATCCATCCACCCACCCACCCACCCACCCACCCACCCACCCACCCACCTAACGATCCATCCATCCACCCACCCACAAACCCACCCATCTATCCACCCATCCATCCATCCATCCATCCATCCATCCAGCCAGCCAGCCACCCATCCATCCAAACATCCACCCATCCATCCATCCAGCCAGCCAGCCACCCATCCATCCAAACATCCACCCATCCATCCATCCATCCATCCATCCACCCACCTAACCATCCATCCATCCAAACATCCACCCATCCATCCATCCATCCATCCATCCATCTAACCATCCATCCATCCACCCACAAACCCACCCATCTATCCACCCTTCCATCCATCCAAACATCCACCCATCCATCCACCCACCCACCTAACCATCCATCCATCCATCTCTCCAACCATCCATCCATCCATCCATCTCTCCAACCATCCATCCAACCATCCATCCATCCATCCATCTCTCCAACCATCCATCCAACCATCCATCCATCCATCCATCTACCCACCTAACAATCTATCCACCCACCCACCCACCCATCCATCCACCCACCCACCTAACGATCCATCCATCCATCCACCCACCCACAAACCCACCCATCTATCCACCCATCCATCCACCCATCAACCTACAAACCCACCGTTTATCCACCCATCCATCCATCCATCCATCCAGCCAGCCACCCATCCATCCAAACATCCACCCATCCATCCATCCATCCATCCACCCACCTAACCATCCATCCATCCAAACATCCACCTATCCATCCATCCATCCATCTAACCATCCATCCATCCACCCACAAACCCACCCATCTATCCACCCTTCCATCCATCCAAACATCCACCCATCCACCCACCCACCTAACCATCCATCCATACCAGTGTGGTTTTGTGTGGTCATAATAATTCTTCCAACTACTTAAAAAAAATATAGTTTTAATTGTTCTTTCTAAAATAATGCCCACTGTATATATAAGTTCAGAAGCTCTTTCAGGTTTGTTGAATCGCACACCAAAAACAGACACTCATGTGACTATCACTGAGATGCGAGCCACACCGCAGTTGCTCACAGGACTCACAGAAATAATTTCACTTTCAGAAGTGTTTTCTCAACACTGCAGCATTGCACACTAAGGCGAACACATTCATTATTAATTTAATTATCACTCAGTGAGTCATTTAACCATGTTTATTGCCTTTTGTCTCTAAAACACATTCAAATATGATTCACATCACTGGATTTTACATCACGTTATGAAATTTTAAATTAATAAGTTAAGTTAATAATAAAATTAAGTCAATAATAATAAATAATAATAATATTAAGGCCCCTCTGTGGATAAATATCAAGTTTAAGGCCCACCATGGAGAAATATAAAGTTTTTAATGTTGTTTATATGTCTATGCCCTATGGACTTGGGCGCCGCTGGCGGCAGATGTGAAGAGGTCTGGCCACACATGGGCACAGCTAGAGAAGTTGGCCCAGGACCGGGATGACTGCAGAGCCCTTGTTCGTGGCCTATGCCCAAAGTTGGGCGGTAAGCGTAAGTAAGTAAGTATATGTCTATGTGGGGTTTAACGTGGTTGAACCACCAATTTGCGACAGTACGGTTTGGGGCAACAGTTGTGACTAGCTTGTTGATTTCTTCAACGATGCATCGTACTATGGTAGTGAAGCATTGAGTTACATCGTTGTACGGGAAACACACCCCAGGCCAACGGTTGGATCTCTGAGCTGCTGTTAGTGAGTGTTGGCAGGGCTCATTTGCATATTCATAGAACTAACTAAATGAGGCAAGGGTATAGTTACATTCAAGCTATTTTAAGGCATGAATCTTTTTTTTTTCAAGGTAAAAACTTTTAAATATTTGCTAAATTCCAACTCATCTGAAGAGATAAAGAGTAACAATGTTTGCCTTCATCAGGAAACCAATCATAAAACCAGTGGTGTGAACACTGTTGATGAGTGTGGATTTGTGTGTATCCCCTACCCTCTCCTTGTAGTTGCATGGGGTCTAGCAGCTCCATCATGTAGTCAGTGTCCACCTGTAGTATAGCTAAATCACTGCGTAGCAACACCCACGTCAGGCACGGCAGGAAATCATCCGCCCCGAAGACCGTTCCTGAGAGAAAACAATCAACATGTTGAAATCTCCTACAGCTTGAGGACTCGGGTATTAAAATGTATGAAGTGGCTTGCAGTGATCATACTGTAGCTCCATAGGCTTGCAGTTCTGGGCATTAACTTATTACATGTAGTCTGGATTACGTAATCAGATTCTCAAAATTTTTGATTTCGATTTTTGATACGATTATTCTTAGTTTCACCCTCATGAACTTTTAGTTTGTGTCTTTCATTCACATCTAGGCTATTATTTGTTCTCAGTTTCCCACTTGTTTGTCTAATAGGTTACTTATTGGCTTCTAGTTAGTATGGTTACTCATCAGTTCCCTGTATATATCACCTGTATTAATCCAATCATCTTTGACTTTGATTTACATACATATATATGCCTGTGTTTTAGTCATTTGTCGGTTCGTATTAATGTTTTAGTTCAGTTTGGTGTTGTTATCTTTCTGTCAATAAACACACTTTTATCTTCGTCTTTGCATCCAGCCTACATCACATTCAGCCAAAGTGTGAGTGTGTGAGCAAAGTGTGACTAAGCATACAGATACTTTTTTATTGATTCAATGATTCCATGATATTCTCACAGTAAATGATCCATAATTCATTGATTTTCCCTATTACAAGCAGGTCCCTTCTACTTAGTGTATTATTTTGATTGTTTTTATTTCAATTTTTTCAGTTTTTTCAATTTTCCACCCCTAAACCTACCCGTCACTGGGGTTAAGACCAATCAGGGATGATGGCCTACCCCTAACCCCGCCCCTAAACCTACCCGTCCTGGGGTTAAGACCAATTAGGGATGATGGCCTACCCCTAACCCCACCCCTAAACCTACCCGTCACTGGGGTTAAGACCAATCAGGGATGATGGCCTACCCCTAACCCCGCCCCTAAACCTACCCGTCCTGGGGTTAAGACCAATCAGGGATGATGGCCTACCCCTAACCCCACCCCTAAACCTACCCGTCACTGGGGTTAAGACCAATCAGGGATGATGGCCTACCCCTAACCCCACCCCTAAACCTACCCGTCACTGGGGTTAAGACCAATCAGGGATGATGGCCTACCCCTAACCCCACCCCTAAACCTACCCGTCACTGGGGTTAAGACCAATCAGGGATGATGGCCTACCCCTAACCCCACCCCTAAACCTACCCGTCACTGGGGTTAAGACCAATCAGGGATGATGGCCTACCCCTAACCCCGCCCCTAAACCTACCCGTCCTGGGGTTAAGACCAATCAGGGATGATGGCCTACCCCTAACCCCACCCCTAAACCTACCCGTCACTGGGGTTAAGACCAATCAGGGATGATGGCCTACCCCTAACCCCGCCTCTAAACCTACCCGTCACTGGGGTTAAGACCAATCAGGGATGATGGCCTACCCCTAACCCCACCCCTAAACCTACCCGTCACTGGGGTTAGGACCAATCAGGGATGATGGCCTACCCCTAACCCCGCCCCTAAACCTACCCGTCCTGGGGTTAAGACCAATCAGGGATGATGGCCTACCCCTAACCCCACCCCTAAACCTACCCGTCACTGGGGTTAAGACCAATCAGGGATGATGGCCTACCCCTAACCCCACCCCTAAACCTACCCGTCACTAGGGTTAAGACCAATCAGGGATGACTTTAGTTCCTAAATGGTATATGGTGGGATCCAGACCCCACGATGGCCTACCCCTAACCCCGCCCCTAAACCTACCCGTCACTGGGGTTAAGACCAATCAGGGATGACTATAGTTCCTAAATGGTATATGGTGGGGTCCGGATAACAGGAAAGTACCATACATTGTATATGAATTATTTAATATGATTTACTTTTCATTAAACTCACAAACCCCAGTCTGAGAAAACCTGACGTAATTTAATATTTAATGCATTTCATGTTTTTGATAACAAGTGGAAAATATATTCTTTCGCTTTGTGGATTTTTACATCAATATGGTACAAGGTTATCCTATTCAAATCAACGTGATAGGTCCAAAGTAATCAAAAACTAGTCAAGAATACACAATTTATCTTATGTGTAATGTAATAGATCATGTTACCAACTACAACATGTCATTTGAAATCAGTAACTGAATAAAAATATTAAGTCATTTTCCCTATCACTAACTATTGAATTGTTGGTTTCTCGGCACAGGACACATCCCTGTATGTGTTGAATGGCGAATAATCCGAGAGGAAGTGGCAAGTTTGCATTGCGTCTCTACAGTAGTTCACTCACCAGGCTTAGCATTAGCATTCATGCTGTGGTAGATATTCTTGCAGACTTTGAGCAGGGTGTCGACTTTTTTGCTAGGCGAGTAGGCCTCGTGCATTGTGGTCCACCGATGCTGGATCTTCTCCATCATGCTGGAGTCCGGCACTCCAGCTCCGGCTGCTCCCTCCAGCTCCTCCAGGCTTCGGTTCTCCAGCGTGCTCTTGTTGGCCTCTAAACGCTGCAGAGTGCCGTCATCCCTACGCGCGGTCTTCAGATACACGTACAGGTGAGTGTAAACTGGTTTTAAAGCCACTTTATGCAGGCAAGCTCCAGCATAGCATCTAAGGACAAAGAGAAAAACAGATTTGACAATAAATTTGGTTTCAGTGGAGGCGAATCAATAAGAATCAAAACTAGCAGAATTTTTGAATTGTTTTGAAGTGTGAATATAGAAAGCTCTAGTTTCTTGTGTAGGCATATATATTATGGAGAATGGAGCAATTCAATTGGGTTACCTTTTATTTTGATGGTCCATTTTAAACGTTCTACTAAATATAAGTAACTTTGCAACTACATGTCAAATAACATTCAGGTTTGGGTTAGTCGAATAAGGCCTTGTTTACATCTGGTGTTAAGATGCGTTTTGGTTGATCGGATCACAAGAAGGCTATGCAGACGCATTCCTGGTGTTTTAATCCGTCTCTTTTGTCCACTTTCAAAGGCTTTTTCAGGTCGTTTGATCTAATGGACGAAATAAGCTTGCGCAATTTACATATAGCATTAGCATACGCCGTCGGTGTATGAATGAGTGAGTGAATGGGTGAATGTCAGGCAAAATGTAAAGCGCTTTGGTGGCCATTGGGTCTATGAAAGCGCTATATAAATGCAGTCCATTTACCATTTTACCATATGAACACATCGAACATGACAGAAAAACATACGGAGAGCAGCAGCTTTAGTTTCTGCTCTGACAGCCGCAAGACCAGCCGAACACTGTGAGTGTGTGTTTTAAAATCAGGAATGGTGAGAGAACATTGTTCCTGGTATGTTTTTCGTCTTCACACCAAACTTGTGTCTTCAGCCGACAGTTTAAATCCCGTCTGGCTAGCACGCCTCCCATAATGTTTACGCATTAGCTCAGTAGGCGGAGAGTAGGCATCTTTTGTGGCTGTTTGAACAAGCTCAAAATGTTTAAGACCCTGTTTACCCCTGTGTTTAGCATCGTCCACTTGTGATCCGATCAACCAAAACTCATCTTAATACGTCAACAGGGTTTTTAAGTTGACATGTAGTTGCAAAGTGAGTTTTAGTTAGTAAAAAGACTGTTTGGGGAAAACTAGACTTGACAGGTTGACTGGACTGGGGTGCGTTTCCCAAAAGCAACGTTGGCCAACTATGGTCCAAGTTCCGTCATTACCAATAGAGTTCAATGGAAATTGCGACCATAGTTGGCTAACGATGCTTTCGGGAAACACACCCTTGGACTGTCCTGAACTGGACTTGACTAGAAGGGAAACCACACAGAGGGAACATAGATGAACCCTGACAGTTATCTCCAATACATCCAGAGGTCATACCCAGCTCAAAATCAGGAATGTCTCCAAAGTTGTCTGTGATGCTTTGTATCTCTGGACAATCAAACAGCGTTTCCCTCAGATTAGTGAGAGTCGAGCGCACGTCCTGCAGCATCTCGCTGCAAGTCACTCCAGGAGCGGCTCCACCGGCAAGAGTCTCCTCCACGAAGCCCCGGACCGCCTCTGCAAATGGCCCAGCTCTGCGCTCGGCCAACTCCTGGACACGCTTGCTCAGTCTGCGCTGAGGAGACACAAATCCACCTAGAGCCTGACCCACTGCCGAGAGGCGGTTCTTCATCTTATCTGCCAGCTGGAAGCGGGGCGAAGGCAGGGAGGGGCTTGAAGCCGGCTCGAACTCCTCCTCTATGCTGCTGACTGACAGCGAGTCCAGCTCTAAGCAGGGCGGTTGAAGCAGAGAGGGGGGCAGTGGTGAATTCAGCCATATCTTGTCCTCTATCCAGGACACGCGGTGTGGCGACTGGGGTAGAGGGCTCTGAAGGGAGTCTGTGCTTGCTCTTTTTAGGGTGTCTTCCTTGCTGGCGCCACTCGCCCTTCGAAGCACAACTCCACCCGGGGTAGATGGAGAGACTGGTGATGGGGATCCTTTGAGAAGAAATAAAGACGTCAATACGTGACACTTTCTAACAGCCTCCTTTTTAACAGCACATCCTGTTGCAATTATAAACATTAGCCGCTTTTTCCACCATCGGGCCGAACAATAAGGAATACGGTAGTTTCAATTGAGCTTGGTTCGGTTCGGCACGGCACGATTACAAACCATCCCGCAGTGGGAAATGTAACCATGCCAGTACCAGTTGGGCACGAAATGGAACGGTTGAGGTCTGAGTCTGAATTTTCACATGCGTTTTTCCGTATACGTCACTCGATGGCTCTGAATAGTCAAAATACCTCTCAAAATGCTTGCAACAGATGTGGAAAACGCAGAAAATCGAACCTGATCCAAAGTTTCGGAGGCAGCGTGTAGACGTGAGGTCGTATTTATTATTTTAACGTGCTAAAATTTCAGATGCAAGCATTTTGAGAGGTGTTTTGACAATTCAGACCCACCGAATGATGAATATGGGCAAATATCAAGCAACTATTGTTTCTATTGTTTCTATTATTCTATCGTCGGTTCCTATTGTTATAATGTAACTATTAAAAATCTTTTTCGTTATTTGAACTTAAGCTGAATTCAAATAAAATATAAAGATTTGATGAAAAAAATATTTTATTGAAAACTAAACTTATAAAAATAAAAGCTTATTCAAAATAGTATAATAGTATATACTTGAATTTATATAACATAATATAAAAAAAAAGTCCACCACTACCTTTGTCCTGGTCAAAACTGCTAGAGTTGTCCTCGACTTGTATAGATGACCTCAGTTTCAGTCCTCTCCCTTCCCATGCTCGGGTGGTACTCAACCGCTTGTCTCGCCTCAAGCCGATTGGACGATTGACTGGGCTGGCTGGAGAGTGAGTCAGCCAATCATCCCCATGCTCTTGAAGGTACAAGGGATTGATGAAGCACAGGGCACCATTGGCGGCTGTAACCTACCAACACACAGAAATCATTTGAAGATCACAGATCACAGTGGATAAGACACATGCCTTTGGTGTGAGAGACCCGGGTTCGAATCCACTTCGAGATACCAATGTGTCCCTGAGCAAGACACTTAGCCCCTAGTTGCTCCAGAGGCATGCGACCTCTGACATACGTATATAGCAATTGTAAGTCGCTTTGCATAAAAGCGTCAGCTAAATGAGTAAATGTAAATGTCAAGTGTCAATCATTCTGGTCCAATTAAATCCCACATTAAAAAGAATAGATCCCCGTGGACACATTTGTTGTGTTGGTAAATTTCAACTCCCTTACACTTCCTTGCATTGTTACACAATTAAGGTATAATCTGATTACTTTTAGATTACTTTTGAAGTAACTCGTTTATCACATTGCTTTGGATAGGATAACCTTGAGCCATTTTGATATGAAAATACAAAAAGAAAGAAAATGTGTTTTATTAAGTGCATTAAATTTTACATTGCACCAGGGTTTCCCAGACTGAGGTTCATGAGATTAATGAAAAGCTATTAATCAAATAATGATTTAAAAATAAAAACACTTACTAAAAAGGATTAAATGTTTTTTTGTTTGTTGACCTGCTGGGTGAATCAATGAATTATGAATAATGTACTCTCATTGTGAGAATAACAAAAAAAAAAATAATAATAATAATAACTGTAGTCTGATTATGAGTATTTTAAAATGCAATATAATCTAAGTACTTCATTTTTGGAATCAAATTACTTAATCCAGATTACATTTAATCAGTTACTACGCAGAACTGTTCATAGTTAACGCTAAACACACGCTAAACTGATGTTTGGACTTTGCACTTAAAATAAGTCTTGGTTTGACATATGATGATGGTTTTGATAATGTTTTGCCAGTGTCTAGAAAAGACATGTTAAAGTTCATGAGAACCAGGCAATGAGGGTTAGTCATGTGGTTACACTTTTGGTTTCACTTTATTTGAAGTCCTTGTAATAACACAAGTGAGGACCAAGTAATGTTAATTTAAGCATGTACTTACGTAAGGGTTGGGGCTTGACTGTTTGACTGTTACTTCTACAGAAAGTAGATGTTTAACATCCATTTTTAATAAAATAGTTCAATGTATAACTTTGTAGGTTTGCTTTATGTTACTGATTACCTCAATTCACATACAATTCAAATCCAGAAATTAGAATCTGGAATTGGAATTTTCAAAGCATTCTCAGTTCTGAATCACTTATTTAAAGAGTTCACGAATGAACCCCCCACCCCATAATTAAAGATATTCATGTCTTTCTTTCTTTAGTCGAAAAGAAATTAAAGTTTTTTAGGAACACATTGCAGGATTTTTACATATAAAATATACAGTGGACCATAGTGACTTCAATGGGAACCAACAGTTTGAAGGTCCAACCTTCAAAGATCTCACAATCCCAGCCGAGGGATAAGAGTCTTATCTAGCGAAACCAACGGTCAAATCAAAACCAACATTTAAATACTTTTTAACCACAAAAGCCGTCCTGCCCTAGATCAGTGATGTGCCACACATTTCGAAAGAATGTTAAAAGGTCACACATAACAGGCAGAAGTATCTTTGTATATGACCTATATACACTATGTTTTAATTATTTTTTATAAAATGACTGATGTTTTGGCAAAATAACTCTTATTCCTCGGCTGGGACAGAGTAGAGATCTGCACTGAAACTGACATTTAGACCTTCAACCCATTTGGTTCCCATTGAAGTCACTACATGGTGAAAAACTGGATTAAAAATCTTTCATTTCTTTTCATCTGAAGAAGAAAGACATGAATAAAGACATTAGACAATTACTAGGAAATTACATTCTGAATGTAACTAATCCTTTTAAATACTGAACAAATATAGTGAACTTGAAACCATGAGAGAAGTAAAGCAGAGCACAGTATCACCTGTATAGTGCACAGGACGCTTTCTGGCATTTCTGCTGTGTCTTGTGTTTCTGAAGTCATACTGTTAGCCTGCAGATCTGAGGAGGGACACAGCCAGGTCTCTGAAAGTCAAACACACACAAAAGCCTTGAGAAAGGAGAGAGTCTGACTGACATAACAGCAGAGTTATAGTGTATAGTACATCGAATGGTGCACGACAGGGCAAGTACTAACTTGGACCAAGCAGAGGAACAAGGCGATCGGGTTGGTTGATAATGGTGTAAACCCACGAGGGAACCAACAAACAGACAGGCAAAACATCCCTGAGAGAAATGTGAGTGGAGCACATGGCAGAAGAAGGTTACAACAACACATTATTTATACAGTTTAGCACTTGGTGTTAGGGAAACAAGGAGATTATTCATTCTCTTTGCAGAGCATTCAAGGGATAGTTCACTTTGAAATTATTTTTTTATATGTTTTAGCTTACCTCAAGGGCGTCCAAGATGTAGGTGTCTTTGTTTCCACAGCATTTTTGATTTGGACATTTTTTGGTCAAACCGTTGTTGTCTGTCAGTCATATAATGGAGGTCTATGGTCACCACCTCAAAGAGCATGCACAGAGAAGTCCAAATTAAACATGATTTAATGACTCGTAAATGTAAGTACACATTGATGGCCTGAGACACGAAACGAGCGGTTTGTGTGAGAAAACGAACAGTATTTATATCGTTTTACCTCTTGTACGGAGATTTCGGGAGTTTTACCTTTCACTAAACATATTTAGATAAATCGAAATCGTCTTCCATTGCGATTTGCCATATATCTAAATATGTTTAGTGAAAGGTAAAACTCCCAAAATCTCCGTCTAAACAATGCGTGACGTAGATATTACTTCCGGCGTAACGTCTGGAGACGGTTCAGTTCGGTTCAGTTGGACATCTGATTCAGATTATTTCGACGGCTGAGGTAAAAACGATATAAATACTGTTCGTTTTCTCACACAAACCGCTCGTTTCGTGTCTTAGGCCATCAGTGTGTACTTACATTTACGAGTCATTAAATCATGTTTCATTTGGACTTCTCTGTGCATGCTCTTTGACGCCCTAAAACTGCATTATATGACTGACAGACAACACCGAAAAATGTCAAAATTGAAAATACTGTGGAAACAAAGACACCTACATCTTGGATGCCGTTGAGGTAAGCTAAAACATATCAAAAATTAATTTCAAAGTGAACTATCCCTTTAACTGCAACTGTTTGCCCCATACGTGATGTTTAGTATACCTAATTTACTATCTAACCCAGCAGTGCAGTATTTCCTGTGGTAACACTCCTGTTATCAAGCAAAACAGGTCAATAGTTGCTAGATAATCATAACTCATCCGCACCTGCTCAGTGTGTAGAAGTACAGCAGCTGAAAGAGATCAGGGAAAGCCAGGTGTGACGCTGTCAGATGAAGCGCTGTGAAAGAAAGACTCAGTCAGTCTTGCACTATGAGTCATAGAGAGAAACTGGAAAAACTAGTCATGAACTTTAAAAGAACACGGATGTGATGAGGAAGTAGGAAGGCTGCATTATGTCAGCCAGAACAGCGTGCACAAATAAAGAAGGAAGTTCAGAGAAGAGTTTACTGAACTGCACATACTTCTCATGTCCACAATTTGCACATGGACATGCACTTCCCATGCCCACATAGCAACACTGTTTCGGCCCACATCTGGCACTAGCCGAATACGGATCTGGGCCACAAGCAGGCCATAGCAACATGTCAGCCAAGAACAAAGAAATAAACCCGAACTGGAACTTATCGGAGCCACAAAATCTAAATATAGAGTCATCTCAGCCTTAATAAGCCTATTAACAAGCAGAATCGCTGAAGGAAAGAAGAGAACAGAAAAAGAGACAAGCAGAAACACAACCGACTTACAACTGAAGAGAAAAGAAGACATTTCATCTCTGAAGATCTCAGCAGAGGAGGATTAAACGACACCACAAACAGCATTACCAGCTTCACTTATTACTAACCAGACTGACTTTATTTCAGTCAGACGTCTACAAAAGTTCTTATTGAGAATTAATAGGGTTTTACTGTTACATTTGGAGTCACCATAACGATGATCAGTGTTTCCATTAGTTGGGCTCTTAACTCTTTTTATAGCTTTTGTCTTTTTTTGGTTTCGTGACAGTATTTTAGTCAAACACATTTATAGCAGCTAAAGTGAAATGAGATGAGGTGATGATGGTTACCTGATGATGGCTTGAAATAACCAGATTTTCTGATGTCAATTGATTCTAATCAAACCAAACAAATTTATCAGATCTGCCCAGATCTGACTATCAGAAGTGGTCCGCCCAAGGGCCGCCATTCCACGCTGCACGTGGGCCGGATCAGTATTCCACGAGTGCCAGACGTGGGCCGAAACAGTGTTGCTATGTGGGTGTCAACAGGAAATGTAACACACCTGCAGGCTTTATATCCGTATCATATGCCTGACAGCTTGTGCATTTCCTTTCGTGCAACTTAAAAAATGCTCTGAAGTCGTTTTTTCATATCTCAGGAAACTTAGCTATGCTTTGATAGATGCTTCCCTTATAAAATCATATATAAAAACCAAAACAAATGGGAAAGTAGTTGATATACAGTGTGCAGCTATAAAAGTGTGGACAGCATAGCTCAAATATGTAATTTGATGTTGAGAACACCCAGCCTGAAATGTTTGTCGTTTAACCAGACTGATCTCATGAAATGGCGTATGTATGACACGCCAATTTGTATTTCCATTTTTGGTGTGCTATCAACACGTGTTTATTAACGGCGTTGACTTAACGTTACATTACTGTATAAATATATGACCAACCCCAACCCCGTCCCTAAACCTACCCGTCACTGGGTTTAATAACATTTAGGAGTCTTCCCCTACCACCCTAGGAAAAAAAAACATCGCTCCCCAGATGTAGATCTACATTTTGCCTTGTTTCGAACAGCGTGTAATACACGCGTAATCACTCGGACATTTAACGGCGTATTTACACGCGGATAACTCGAAATGTGTATAGATAGCACGCCACTTGACTTGAAAGTGGCGAGTATGTTTACGCGAAAGTCATGGTGTCATGTTGCATTTAACCGTCTGGTTAACTATATAGTAACTAGGGTTGGGTATCGAGAATCGAGTATCGATTGGAACCGGGACTAACTTTTCGTTTTTCCCGGAATCGTTCAAAAGTTCAAATTTCGATTCCTAGTTTCGATATTCACATTTCGCCGAGCTGAAGAAGAAACCGCTGAACAACACCAACGAAGAAGCGTCTACCGGAAGTGTTGGTATAACCGCGCGAGTCGAACATGAGTAGCTTACGTCGGCGGTCCAAAGTGTGGCTTCACTTTTCTAAAAATAACGAAATCTCGGCAAAATGCAAAATTTGTGACAAAAGGAATATTTGTGACAGAAGGAGTATTTCCTTCAGAAAGGATTATTTTCTTCAGAAATACCGTTGGTTAGCAAGGTTAGCTAAACTTTTTTGACCCTGCCTCTTAAAAGAATCAAAATCGAGAATCGTTAGGAACCGGAATCGAAACAAGGAATCGGAATCGGAATCAGAATCATTCAAATTCAAACGATACCCAACCCTAATAGTAACCCACTTCTAGACAAAATAACATTTAAAGTTGTTATGTCGTTCTTGTCAAAATAACTTGCGAGATGTACGATATTCCATCATGTAAGTAAATTAAAGAGTGAATATAAGGTGTTTGGTTTCATTTCTTCACTTATTTCATTTCTTTGTTATCTAATTGATGACTAGTCTATTCTTAAGCGATGGTTTAGATGGTTCAGTACATTTTCACTGACAGCCTAAATTTTGCCTTGTTTTAGCCTAGACATTGGACATGTATCAGGCATCAGGCGTCTTTTAAATGCAACATTGCTTGCTGGGTATGTTGATCATGTATGAGTTTATGTTGAAATCTGATTTTTGATTGAGGATAAACAAAGACTATAGAATATCAAAAGACACGTCTCTCGTATTGTTTTAAATGGGCACGGAATTTGACGGAATAAGCTCCGCCTTCTAAATAAGAGCCAATCACCTATTGGTAAAGTCCCCACTGCAGCCGTTAGAAGCTCCGGTTCCTATAGAGAGCCTAAGTCCCGCCCCTTCCGGTCGACCACCATGGGACCTTATTTCGGAAAAATATTGAATGGTAGTCAATGGCGAGAGACAACAAATATTTTGATCTCGTTTGAATTGTGCCCTGAATTACACATATGATGTTTGTCGATTTAAAACATACATTTTAAAGTAAAGAAAGTCGCAGTTTGATGTAAAACCGTTGAGGTATAAGAAAGACTGTGAAAATACATAATTACAAAGACTACAAACCCCAAAGGCGCACATTTTCTCCCAATGAATGAAGCTAACTTTACTGAGGCTGTCTGTCATTGTTTCTACTGTCTTACGTTATAATCGTAACGTTACGCCGTCCTGCCTGAGTGTTTTGTACCAGACTGCACACACACGAGCAGAGGATCTCGTTTCTCTTCCAGGGAGATGTAGTTCATAGAGCGATTTTCACATAAAACTAAATGTTACTCTACTGTTGTATGACAAACTGCGACGTTTTTGACTTTCAGAATTATCTTTTAAATTGACAAACATCATATGTGTAATTGAGGTCACAGTTCAGACGGAATAAAAAGATAATTTGTCTCTCGCCATTGACTACCATTCATATTTTTTCCGAAATAAGGTCCCATGAGCCGGAAGCGGAGGGGCGGGACTTAGGCTCTCTATAGAAACGTGCATTAATCCAGCTTGAAAAATGTCATTTTCTGTCAAGATTCAAGTGTTTAGAAACGACATTTATGAGACAGTTGTTGTCAGATTTCATTGGTGATTTCAAATAAGAAATGAATCGTATGGTTGACGAACAGTTTTGGAGAATTTGATGTTTCCCCATTCACAGAGACAGGAGCTGCACTTGCACGGCCAGAGGTGGCCGCCGAGTGAAATGACTTGTCTTAAAGGGACTTTGGTATCATTAGCTGTTTCCAGTACCTGTTCCAGTGGTTATGATGGGGAATTCTTTGACCGGCTCATCGCTGTCCGCTACAGACACACACAGAAGCTGGTCTTGAGGCAAAGACCCTTGCACCACCAGGAAACTCTGTGGAAAGGTGCATTGTTATTCACATCAAGGTACATGTTATTTCACTCTTATGCAAGTTTAATGAAACTGAGATCATTGAGGATTGAACATTTTTAGAGAATATTGTATCATGTTTTGCACTCATGCGAAAGAGTGACACAACCAGCTTTGACATCAAGGAAACGCACACTTTGTGGGTAAGCTCTCTCACAAGAGGAAGTCAGAGCGCACACAAGTCAGGTGCCAAAAAAAACTAAAATAGATGACAGTGAGAGCTACTGAAGTTACTTTAGTTTATTTAGTTTATCGAAACCAATGATGAATAAGCTTCTAACAATATTCACAGGTTATATGCTTTTTTACAGTTTATGGTTATATGGCATTCAAATTCACTCCCTAAAATATTATCGACAAGAACCCTCTTAGCAATATGTTGACCACAGGGGAAGTGAAATGAGATCTTTGGTAATTTTGTCATCACTCACTACTTATACAGAGTAAGAGTGTGTGCAGGACTATAGGAGTATCTTCCACAGCTTTGAAATATCCTTGGCACTATCAGTGTTGGCAAACATTTCTGAAAAGTTCAACATTGGATCCTTATAGATTCTGCCGATTCTGAGAACCCCCCCCAAAAATGAAAAAAATGTGTTGATTTTTGTTCTTTTTATTCATTCATTCTTTTCTTCAGATCCCCATTGGCTTCCACAGAGTGGTAGCTAATCTTCCTGGGGTTCACAAAGCAATATTTATGTAGATCTTGTATTACTTTTAATCATTACATGTTGAATGAGGATGTTTTACAGCACCCACTGCACAGTTGACACAGTTGAACAAAGTAAAATTACATAATGCTTGATTATTGACCATTCTGAATCAGCATATTGTAAATAACCACTTGCATAAATTGTAGAATAGATCTTACCTTTCAATACGTTGGTCTTTCAAGACACCAGTGCTCTACTCTCTCGCTCTCTGTCTCTTCTCAAGTACACTTGCAATCATGCTTTCTGCACTCTTATCTAACACTACTTCTGCAATTGTCCGCAACATAATGACAGTTTAGTCCTATCAAGAACTTATGCTATAGTGCTGGTTAAGATGATTTTTTTAAGATAATTGTATTGTGGCACATGTATAAACAGACGCAAGTCAATCATTGAATAAACTTCTCACCAAGTGCACATAAAACTAGCTAAAAAAACTTTATTAAACAGGGCCAAAGTTCAGAAAAATGGAACAGTGACTTTCCACGATAAAAATAGCATCAATAATGTTAATGTATTAAACAAATGTGGTTTGTACATGGTCTCACCAAGTAAATCTTTGTTCAACATTCCAAACAACCAATCAGATTTGAGGGACAAGTTAACAGTTCATGTTTTAGGCTTATAACCAGGGTTAGATGCTTCTACATCGGTGTAAATCTATCATTTCTCTCGGATTTTAGCGATAAGTTATGGGTTGGGTTAGGACTAAAGTTTGATCCAGAAACATCCCAGTAAGCATAATGATGTCCAAAAGACGTCTTTTTAAAGTCTTTGTCACAAAAGTCGGACGTTGAAAAGATGTCCACTGAGGAGCCAGAATGAAAGTTTTAATAGCGTCTTTTTTTTTTTGACGTATTCTGCATGTCCGATATAGACGTTCATGGACCCTTCGTACAAGGTTAAAAACTAGTTCAAATGTGGTCATCTTGTGGAAATACAATATTGACACCAATAGCATTTATAATATCACTTATTTAGAGGTGGGTAAAACTTATGTGCATACGATGTTTAGACCAAATGTATCATGTTGTCAAACATTATGCATATGATTCACAACAATGGTGCCAATAAAAATCGTCATGCTGCAGTTCATGATGGGTAGCTTTCATCGTTCAGAACTCATTGATTTTTGAACTATGAATTTTGAACAAGATTTGTTTTTGATTGTCACCATTGTTGTGACTCATATCCCAAATCTTGATGTCTGTGTGATGCATTTGCACAAAACAAACAATATTTTTTTTTTATCCCATTGGCACCGATATTGCAGTTTTGCATAAGGTTGGTGGTTATGAATGCCAAATATAAAAACAATTTCAAACTCAACATTTGATACTTGTTTTGTGATGATTATGTCATCAACAACATTGAGCTTATAACACCTGATGTTACTGTTTCTTGGCTTTCTCCGTCATAAGAATTGTGTTATACAAACACACAGTTGCAGCAGCCAAAGAAAAGCTAAAGTAAAAATAAAGGGGACAAGAGTCCAACTAAAGGAAACACTGATCACCATAATGGTGACACAAATGAAATGAAACAAATATCAACATCTAAACCTCTGTTAATTCTCACTAAGATCATATGACAGCAATAGTCAAAGTAATTATATCTAAATGAGGCCATAAATGATGTAAAAAAAAAATGTCCACAATGACCACATATGGACTAGTTTTTAACCTTGTACGAAGGGTCCATGAACGTCTATATCGGACGTGCAGAAAACGTCAAAAAAAGACGTCATAAAAACTTTCATTCTGGCTCCTCAGTGGACGTCTTTTCAACGTCTGAATTTTGTGACAAAGACTTTAAAAAGACGTCTTTTGGACATCATTTTGCTTAGTGGATGTCTTACTTGGCAAGATTACCATTATCTCTATTAATAATAAGGGATGAAAAAGAGTTATTAACAAGTAAAGTCAAGCTTTTATGAAATTTGAAGCTGAAACATTACAAGCAATGTAAGTAACACCGGTTCAAGTAACTGTGACTGTTTTTCTTATTATTGACAACATTAGGGTTTACTAGACCTACTGTTGAAACGGCTGAATGAGTCTGACTGATTAAGCACGCATTGCAAAAAGGGAAGTAAAGGCACCCACCCCAGAAGGTCTTCCCCACAGAGCGGCATGCGCCCCATGACTGTCCCAGGGGCTCTTGGGAGCCCAGGCATCCTGACACAAGTGTAAGCCTTGCAGTAGACTCAGGGTTTTGGTCTGACCCATATAGACCCCGTTGGGTACCGTCCTGGCAGCATTTTGTCTATGAGAAATAATAAAAGGTGTTTAAATAATAATGTTTCTAAAAACAAAACACATTTAAAAAAATGCATATTGAACAACATTGAATCAATGTTACCTGTTCCCACTGGTTGTGAATTCATCTTTTGACTCTTTCATCATCATGGACCTCTTCAGGAAATCTGTTCCAGCACAAGGTCTTCCATTTCAAATATGTTAAAACCCTGTTGAAATTTGGAAAGAGAGAAACAAAAGAACTTAGAAAATATTGTTTCTCTCGAACACCACATCCTTTCTTTTGTATGTCTTTTCGTTCTCTCTTGTTCATAGTTCCTTGTTAACAGTTGAATGTGTTTTATCAGCAGTGAAATCTAAAGTCTAAAAGACAGTTTTTCTTCAAATTTAGGGGAGGAGTTTCATCTGTGAAGTGCAACTTTGAAAACAGAGGCCATGTGCTGTGACAAAAAGAGCGACTTCCAGCTTGTTGCACTATCTTTCACAAAAAAAAAAAAAAAAAAAAAAAAATGGTAACACTTTACAATATGGGTGCACTAATAAGCATTAATTCATGCTTAACTAATGCACAGATAATAATGAATTAATGTGTAACTAATGATTATCTAATCTATTCATTAATGATTACCACATTATGAACTAATTAAGAGTCTGTAAAGTTAATGTATTAGTTCATACATGAATTGTTATTCATTAAATATGTAATTGTGAATTAATTCCATAATAACTATTTTTGTTAAACTAATAGTGTTAATTAATATGTTAATTACTAGAATGAGCCAAATCCTTGTATTTCAACTTCCAGATAATATGACAGGTACATTAATATGCATTAATACATGATTAATTACTTCATTGTTAGTGCAAATTCATGTGCAAATAACTACAATTACTAAATGACTAGTTAATAATGATGTGCCCCAACAAGTAAAGTCATAACATAATCATACCTTTACAAATCATTAGATAATGATTATTTAAAGCAGACAACTAGAAGTTGAAGTGCATAGCTTTGACTAATTGTGGTAATTAACACATTAATTTACACTATTAGTTAATAAAATATGTTATTAATACACAATGACACATTAAATTAATAGCAATTCTTAATCTATTAATCATATAGACTCTTTATTAGTTGCTGATGCAGTTATCATTAATTAATGGTTTAGTTCTTCATGATTATCTGTGCATTAGTTAAGCATGAATTAATGCATATTAGTGCACCCGTGAAAGTGTTACCAAAAAAACAACAACAATTGGACACACCAGCTCTTTGCTATTTATTATTCATATTTGTCACATTTTAGAATAATATTAAAGTTATTAAAACAATTGCACTTTATTTTACAGTACAAAATAATATAAGATATTGGTTAAGTTTGGGTTTAGGAGTAGGTTCAGGTCATTAACTAGTAATTTTAATAAACAGGACTTCAACATAAAGTGAAACCATGAAACCAACACGCATATGGGAATTATGTAGTGATCAACAAACTGTTTAATATATACAAATATATCATATTTTAGATTATTCAGTGTAACCAGTCAGCCTTTAGGGATTCTCTGAGCACAATCAGGCATATCCCGGAAACTGATGCTGAACAAGTGTTGCCTGTTTTTTCTTCACTGTGTACTTTGATTAATTGATTAAAACCCTTAATGGTTAAAAATGGTCTTGTATTAAACTATTTACACATCTTAAATTAGTCTTCGTAACAAACTGGCACCGTAGTTTATACTTTGGTTGGATGACGAATGCGTTCTTCCATTTGCTTTGGTTTGACAGGAAGATGCATTGCCGAGTTTCTTTTAACTATAAACAATGAGCACACATTATTTTGATTTCATTGGGCAAGAAAAAACATCTTTCTGTGAAATAGAAACCTTTAATAGCCACTGCTGTAAACTCAAATTTTACTTGCATAAAAATCTCACACATTGACCTCCTGAGTGCACACACACATACATAACCAACTAATACAAATATCATATATAGACATAACTAAATAATCATTTAAATGGTTTTGCAGTAAACATTTCTTCCCAGGGTTTTAGAAAACATCTTGAATGTCGAGTGTGATTGCTTTTTCCATGTACATATATATTAATTGGATACTTGTGCCGCAAACTATCATATTTTGTCAGCTCTTTCAGCTGTCAACTCCTGTCAACTGTTTGACAGCCTGTCTTTTCAATTTATTCTTAATCCATGTTTAATGTAAGTATTTAAAAGAAATATTTGTCATTGCAGTGTGTATTATTTTTTATCAAACAGTTTTGACATTTCTATAGAAAATGGAAAAATCATGTGATTGCTCCCAAAAGTGTAAGCAACAGTAAATACATAATAAGTCCTTGATAGGCTACAGTACATAAACTTGATTTTTTTTGGCCCATGTCTCAAAAATAAGTTAATAATGCATAAAAAGTAACACTCTTGGAATGATGCAAACAAACAGCTTTGCTAAACTCACATGTGGTGTCTTCAAAATGTCCTCCTACATGAAGAAAAGACTGAACATCTCTGAAAGCCGCTCCAAACACCTCCACCCACTGCAAGTTTGACGTGTGGAGTAATCGAGACTCCTCATTATGAATCTTTTCTGTAGTCATGTCACCTACAGTGAGATTCACTTTCGGTCTGTGACATGCATTTAAACGTTCGATTTCAGTCACACTAAAGATCACTATCAGCTTTGATAAGAGTGGCAGAACTCTTGATGATGGCCTTTGTGTCTCTCACACCATAAGCTCCACCTACTTTCATTACTGTGGTAAACCTCACTTTGACAAACTTTGAAGTGAAAGTAAGATACATCAGAAAGATTATATCTGAATGAGTACATTAGTCCAGTTCAATTTTAGTCAAGTCAGCAGTTAAATGTTAAAAAATAAACCTGTTTCCTTTTATAACTGTTGAGCTTAAGGGAAGACGATGTAACAACTGAGACAAATCAGACACAATTATTTGGTATATGTACCAAACAATCTTTAAAACTCACACTGGGATCTGTGGTCCCATCCCCCCGGTGAGGGGAAGATGGTCTCGGTAACCAGGACAACGATCTGATAAGTTGGTTTTATTGCTGTTAAAAATGTGGTCACATGTTCAAGACAGAGACGACGGGGAAGACAGAAATAGCCTTTAATACAGACTTTTACTTATAAATGAATATGAAGAAAATTTTGCGGATGATTTACTGTCTTTTGTAATGTCTTTTAATACTATTATTTTGTTAATGCTGTGTATTTTACAATAGAATCAATGGTCTCCTGTACCATGTTTGGTCTCTATAAATTGGTACTTTGCAGATCGAAATGATTGTGTACATGATATTTCGATAGCTGTGCAACATATTAGTATTTTCTCATCAGAAACAAATCCAGCGGCACATGCAAATGAGCATGCTTAAAACAAAGATTCATAAATCAACCACAGAGGAATTTTCCCGCTCGGAAATTCCCCCCTTCTCATTGGTCAAGCAAACCCAGAGAGGTGGGGCCTTTCTCAGGCTTTATTAGAGACCAATTCACAGTGACTCTCTCTCTTGTTTCCTGCTTCTTGACTGCTGGTTGATGTCTGTCGGGACCCCCACCGCAAGCTGTGACCACAGCCTGCTGTGCTTTCACTCTCCCAACAGAGACAGACTCAGAGGAAAACTGCAACTTTGCCATTACTGAAAGGGCAACTCTTCCGACTTCCTCACTTTTTTTGGCCTTCTCTGTTTTGTTCTGGGTGCTGTGCTGTCCTGCTTGGCCTCAGCAGGCCCCAGGTTTTGACTCACAACCAGCTCATTCAGGACAGAGAGAAGACTCTCTCAACCAGAACCAAGGACAATCTCAGAAGTTTGGCACAACGGGTTCCGACTTCAACTCTTCCGACTTCCTCCCTTCTCCTGGGTGCTCTGCGTGGCCTCTCTGGCCCATGCCCAACAAACAGGCTCAACGCCCAACCAGCCATGCGCTCATGGACAGAGAGAGAGAACTTCAACATTTGACTGGCGTGTGCAGTGATGACGCAGTGAATGGTGACGATTCTCTCTCACCAATCAATTGTCGGCATTGTTTTCACGTCACATTTTAGTACCGGCTCAGCTTGCCATAGCTCGCTCAGAACCTCGCCGGAGGTGATACAAAAAAAAGTACCCGAAAGCAGGTACAGGTACAACTTTTACACAGTGGAAAACCAAACAAAGGCGAGCCGAGTCAAGTCGAGCTGGTACTGTGTAGTGGAAAAGTGCCATTATATATAATTAGATAAAGGTTTATGTGTATTTGGTATGCCGTCCGAGGGGAATTTGGCCCGAACCCAGAGTGCTCACCCAGGTTGGGATAGGAATAGTAAGAAATGAGGAGATGGGGGTGGGGGTGCTGGAAAACTGTCATAGAACAGAGGTAAGTCTACTGTATACCTCCTAATGCTAATTGAGTTGACTGGATGAGGTCCTCCTATGATAATTAGGGTAATTATCCGAATGTGCTTCCCCCGAACTAAATAAAGCATCATATCTTTATACCACTGAAGAGTCTTGAGTGAGACTGTACCACCACCTTTTGGAATCATGAAAGCGAAATGCGGTCCCGGTTTATCTCCTGCAATCGGGAACTGCTCAAGCATTCTGAGGGGATAAAGATGCAGGGGAGATCCTGCTGAGTACAGAGTTCAGCCGCTGACTTCGCTTTATGATTCCACATGCAGGCCTTCACAACATGCAACCCAGACACCTGCGATCCCAAACCAATACAGGTGGGTCGATCTTCTATGTTGGCTGAGGAGCATAAAAGCTCATCTGTGACTTTACTGTGGCCAATCAGGACACCTCCTGGCTGCCTTTCTGATTCGTCCCCTAGGAAGGGGTGACACTCGGTGGTGAGTTTGGATTTTTTTAATCTACTTTTTGTAGGCCAGTTAGAAGTCCCAGTTATATTATATGTTCATGATGAGGCACATTCTGTATCAGCCAATTTAGATTCAGAGGCAGCAGGCAATTTCATAGATTTTAGTTTGGTTGATTCCTTGATTGCTCTCTTGTTTTTTGTGTTCCTCTACAGTGCTAGAGGGTCGCCCATTGAGCACACATCACTCCACCAATTTGTCTGCATTGGGCACACATCTTTCCACCAATTTAAAAGGGACAAATCTCTCGTTTGGGCTCCACCTACTCTCATTTCTGTCTCAACCTTCTAGTACAACCCACTCTCCCTCCAGTAAGCACTACAGCAGTGACCAGAGATGAGAACACTCTGGTCCTGCCCTCCTATTATTCTGATCTCCATGAACCATTCGCAAAGTCTAAGGCCACGTCATTTTCTCCACATCGCTCCTGTGTACGTATGTTCTATTGACATTTTGTCAAGTACCTCTCCCCCTCACGGATGGATATATACCCCCTTTCAGAACCTCAGGCCAAAGCCATGGAGGAGTACATTTCTGAGGCACTGGAGAAAGGCTTCATCCAACCAGGTAACTTCCCTGCCTCCGCCGGCTTCTTTTTCATGGGAAAGAAGAGCGGGTTTCTCCGTCCGTGCATTGATTAATGGCGTGCGATTGCCATCACCATTAAGTATCACTTTCTTTTACCCCTTGTTCCTGCAGCCTTTAAAACAGTTGAGGTCGGTGAAGATCTTCACACAACTAGACCAACTTGTACAACTTGATCAACATCCGTGAGGGGGTCGAATGGAAGATGGCCTTTTCCCCTTGCACAGGGCACTATGAACATCTGGTGATGTTGTTCGGGTTCGATGTGTATCCAACAGTTCATCTGTCTTCCAGGCCTTTATCAATGACATCTCCAGAGAATCCCTGGGCAATTGGGTCATGATCTATATTTGGGGTCTCCAAACTTCATCCTGGAAGGGCCACTACTGTTCTGCAGAGTTTAGCTTTATTTGGGTGAGTGGGTGTTGAACGGAAATTGCCTTTGTATACGAAGTCCACAATCTTTCTCCACTGTTTCCTGTCCTGAGCCACGTTCTTGTTGGCATAATCGGATGAAATACCGTACGCTGCTAGATCCATCTCCACTTGTTTGATCCAAATCTTTTTCGGTGCATTTCTTAATAGATTCCAGCTGTCTGTCCGGGTTTGCCATCCATTTTGACAGTTGTCGACAGATTCTCCAAGGCATCACATCAACTCATTCCCCTTCCCCAAATATACTCAGTGGGAGGGGCTGTCGACCAGAGTACTCCATCTGCAGCTTCCTTGCAATAAAGTCCACTCCCAGGTATGTTGATCCGTTAGAAAATCATCCGTCAAATTGATCCTGTACCTTTCAAGTTACAACTCCCTATCACACCAACTTTTCATGTTTTTCTGCTTAAACCAATGAGGGAGGAGGGCTCACAAGACACATACTGTTGACAGTACTTGCAGTTACTTCTAGTCAGGAGACCATCAAAATAAAGTGTTACTGTAGATATTAATTAGACAGTCTACTAATAATCTAGTGACTGGTTGTTGATATGTAGTCGTAAAGTTACTTATAGAATATCTAAAGTGGACCATCAAAATAAAGTTTTAGCTTATGCAATAAATAAGGAGGGGTCGTTCATGAATGTATTACTACAACATTAAGAACAAAACAGTGTTCCTAATTATTAAACAGTGTGAAATTAGAGGCTATTATGCATATATTATTGATTATTGCTAACAAACTTACAACAATTCAAGTCATCTTCATTTATATAGCGCTTTTAACAATGTAGATAGGCTTTATGACAACTCTAGAATAAAGTTATTTTCCAGCTAAAGTTAGTTTTAATTGATTCATTTCCATTACAATGATCCTTATTAACTTAGGGGTCGCTAACACGACATGTTTTAACAGAAGTTCTTTCTACGCAAACTTTAAAAATGTGAACCAGTGAGTACACTGATGGCGTGCACATGTGTACTAAGAGTTCGTTCTATACAGGTAGGTATGCGTTTTTAAATGTATGTGCGCAGGCATCTAGTCCTTCCCTAAAAAAACTAATACTAAAACTACACAATAAAGGGACACAATTTTTCATCAAAACATCAAGTAATCAAATTACTATGGTAATTTGATTAAGCTTAAGCTTAAAGACATGGATATGACACAAGGTTAATAGTTGGCCTGTGGGAGTTATGTAGTTTTAATGCCTTTTGACAACATCACACCACATGCATACATACAAAACTTGTTCTTGTTTCCAAGTAAGGGCTCAATCAGATATAATAGTAATGTTGTAAAACACTACTGGGCCAACTTCCTCTTACACAACTGAAGCATAGGGTGGATATCATTCCAAACCAAAGATAAGCATCCAAAGAAGAAAAAAAACAGGCATAAGTATTAGAATAGTTTATATCCAGTAGATATTATTAATAATTCATTAACCCTTTTAAAAATATAACATTATAGACTACTAAAATCTAAAAATGATTTTTTGAGCACAAAAAAGAAAAGTCTTATTGACAAGGTACACCCTCATTAAAACTATGGTGAATTTCATGAAATCTGTTAAGAATTTACCTCAGACTTAACACAAATGCATTTAAACGCAAAGAAATGTAAATCTCATTATAGTAGTGCAAAAAAAAAAATTGCATTTAAATAAAGAATTTATACAGCATGCTATCATTTGTTGTACAGCTTTTTGTATAAATTCTATTTAATTTACGTAAAATTTTAGTTAATGAAAATAATGTCACAGTGCAAAAAAATCTCAATGGTCCTTAGAGTACGCTTCATTTTCTTAAAGTAGAATAAATGTTGAAAACAAAATTTGACCTCACCATGTTTTCCTGTGTTTCACTCATAAATAACTTTTCAAGCCAAAGTCTCATTTGACAACACGCCACATCGCTGCGGCTTGTTTCAGACACATATGCTTTTGCAAGATGTGAAAACATGTGATAAAGCCAAGTGTAATGCTTATCAGCTTTAAAAAAATACATTTAAAGCATTATGTTTTTTTATAATTGTGTTTCACAAACTGTTTGTCAGAGCAGTCTCTTGGCCAAAGCAGAACACCAACGCTTCTGCTAAAGTGTTTGCCGTCTATCTGTTCCTGTTTGAGCTCTTTGTGGTTTCGGTAGCATTTCTATAGCATCTATTTTGCTATTACAGACAAAACAGCTCAGAGAAACAGAAAAAACATGATAGAGATTAGATGCGACAAGGCCAGAGTGAATTACGGAGATCTATTAGGGCTGCCATGTGAACCTTCTGCATGCTCTGATTGGTTATTCTGTCTTGTCAGTCTTCACAGGCTCCGCCCCCGTGCTACTGGAGCTCTGATTGGCTTCCTTGTCTTTCTTTTTATCCTCTTTGCTGTCAATCAAAGCATGTTCACGCTTCACCATCTCTTCCAGCTCTGCCTGAAATCAAAAAGGTTGACATCTCATGCAACAAACACTTTAAGAGGGGAACATTTTTACTGATTTAAATGAAATGTCACATCTGAATGTGAATATTTACTGTATTTACCTTCCAGCCCAGCAGTTCGGCAAGAGCCATGCAGCCGTCGTCACAGGTGCTCAGGTGAGCCACATCTCTGTGAACGATCAATAAAGTCAATGTTCGCAAACCTCAGCCAAGGATCTTGCCAGGATCCTTAACAAGGATCCTGGCAAGGAGTAGTATGTGAAATAGTACAGATTACACGATTTTTACAATTAAGTTTAGACATTAAGTAAAGTTAACTAAAAAAAGTGTTAGTTTGAACAAGTGTTGGATTTTACAGTGTACTAGTTTTGTCCAGCACTTCACAATGCTCTTTGTGTTCCAGGCCTCAAGAAGACACGCTGTTGAACATGACCTCACCTGTAGGCTTTATCCGAGTCAAAGTCCATTCCTCCTCCAAAAGCGAATAACCCCGTGCCAAATTCCGACTGTCGGAGAAAGACAAGAATGTAATTATAAAACTAATTTGTTTCATTCAAATGTTTCTTATAATTAGATGAGCAATTACAGACCTGTCCGGTTTTCTCCATATTGATGAGCAGTCTAGGACAGCTGTTTGACACTCTGCAGAGAAGACAATACATTTAAGGAGTAGTTCACTTTTAAAAAAAACTCTTGCTGATAATTTACTCACCCCCATGTCATCCGAGATGTCCATGTCTTTCTTTCTTCAGTCGAAAAGAAATGAAGGTTTTTGATGAAAACATTCCAGGATTTTTCTCCATATAATGGACTTCAATGGGAACCAAACGGTTCAAGGTCCAAAAGACAGTTTCAGTGCAGCTTCAACGGGTTTTAAACGACACCAGACGATGAATAAGGGTCTTATCAAGCGAAACGATCGCTCATTTAAAAAATAAATAAAAAAGTTTAAGTTTCATAAGCACAAATGCTCGCCTTGCTCTGTTCTGTGATGAGCGTTCGTGACTCTCCTGTTCAAACTCGTTCATCAAAATGAAAAAATCTTTTTTTCGATCCTAGATCCTAGATAAGACCCTTATTCATCGTCTGGTGTCGTTTAAAGCCCTTTGAAGCTGCACTGAAACTCTCATTTGGACCTTGAACCGTTTGGTTCCCATTGAAGTCCATTATATGGAGAAAAACCTGCAATGTTTTCATCAAAAACCTTAATTTCTTTTCGACTGAAGAAAGAAATGACATGGGGGTGAGTAAATTATCAGCAAAAGTTTTTTTTAAAAAGTGAACTACTCCTTTAAGGAGCTTAGTTACTATATTTACTGTGCTTGGATGTTTTTAATGTTATTTCAATTGTTATTTATTGGCTGGTGCTGAGAGAGTGCCAAGGCACATTGTATTTCATTGCTGTGGTACTCTGTACTAATACGCATATGACAATAAACTTGAAATGAACTGAAATGAACAAGAGGTTTAAACAACTGCAGATTTGCACGAAATTAAAATTTTTGATCCGCATCATTCAATGTTAATTGTTATAAAAATAAAATGAACCAACATTATTCATTTTCATTTAATGCACATTCATTCGGCATTAAGCGGATACCTGGAGACATGCTTACCTACTGACTAGTGATGCGAATGGCTGAACCTGTAGGGATGTGCCCATTATAATGAGAAGATCACATCGAGGAAAGTCCTGCGGTACAACAGTGGGATGACAGTAAGAGTCGAACTGAAAATGTGGAACGACTGGCTTTGACCTTGAATATAGGCTTAATCCTCACCATTTTCATGGAAGTGAAGAATCGAGGAGGTAGATTCTCCCCGAAAAACACAATATCTGAAAAAGGAAAGAGGCTAAAACCATAAGAATTTAAAAAGAGACTAGCCACCAAGGGAAGCTATTTAATGTAGGGCTGGGAATCGATTCCAAAAAGAATCGATTCCTCGATTCCGAGGCGTTAGGAATTGAGAGTCGATTCCAAAGGTTGGAATCGATTCCATTAAGGGGAATCGACTCCTCCTTTAATATTTATTTTTTTAACTCAAACCGCGGCCTGTCACCAATTTCATTTGTCAACACAATCACGTCACCTGTAACTAAATAAAGTTCAGACTAAATAAATGGATCCATTCGTGACACAGAGTATGTTTTAGGGCAATCAGTGTAATGACTGACTCAATGAATTCTTTAGAATCGGTTCCAGGGTTTTATCTTACTCGTTGTAATTTAGGACAAATAAATCTGATTTATGAAATCAGTCGACAAAAATCAATCACTCACGCGACGAAGAATGCCTCCAAGGTCAAGAGTGGTGCTACGTTACGTGAGATTCGACAAAAATTTGCGATAAATTCACGTGAACTTTTTCCTGTCAGTCATTCTCCAGTGTTCAAACAGCGCGTCGCGTTCGGTTATGACAGTCAACGATAGAACTCTCTCCAAGATGATTCAATGTTACTATTATTATACTTGATTCGATAAAGCTATGGTTTCACATAAAATGAAAAATACAGTAAAATGCCACACTGTATTGGAGTCTTTCATAATCATATTATTATATAGGCTACTTTTTGCGCAATGAAAGATTATTAATAGCCTTTTTTGTTCTGTTCTGTCCTCTCAGCTGCGCTATATTTCAAAATGTCTTAACTAACTTATATATATATAGTTAGCTACACATATTGTCTCTTATTTGTTCCCCACATGTTTTTTTTCACTAAATGTTCAGACTTTATACAATTATTGTTTTTCTAGACTAAGTTTTACTGTATCCACTAATCTAGTATAATTCTTGATCTCTCTTTTTTTTGATTTGTTGTTTTTCTTTAACACACAAAAGACTGATTGTCAGTTCAACACTAGAGTTATAAAAATTCTACTTTTTTTTTTTTTTTTACTGCGCTGGTAAAATTGACGATCATTGAACACAGCATACGCTATAGACCATTTCACAAGATGTAAACAACACTGGTCCAGAAGCACTTCCTGTTTTTTAAAACTACATAAAAGCTGGGATAAAATACAACCAACAGAACATTTAAAACTGAATCAAAAAGTTAAACAAACATCTTTAAGATGTTTTCTTTACATGTGAAATAAAGAAAACAGTTACAAACTGAAACAGGAAGTGCTTCTGGACCAGTGTTGTTTACATTTTGTGAAATGGTCTATACGGAGGCCATATTTTGAACAATGGCTGAAGTTAAGTTTCTCTCCCCATGTTTGCAAAAAATGCATCTCAAAATGCATCAGATTGATGCTTTAAAATATGGAGTATTTAAAATTTTCTCACGGGGGAGCATGCATGCCCAGATAGCAGACTGACATTGAATCAACGTGGAAATATGACATCGAAACAACGTTGATATGACATTGTTTTGCTCATCGAATTAACGTTGAACCAACGTCAGATGCGTCATTCTTTCAAAACTAACGGAAAATCAACTTGAAATCAACGCGTTGTTTCAACGTTATGAAAGCAAACCAATTTTCGATTTCATTTAGCTTTGAAGAATGCCGCGTCTGACGTTGGTTCAACGTTAATTCGATGAGCAAAATCAACGTTGTTTCAATGTCATGAGAGACGTTGTTTCCACGTTGATTCAATGTCAGTTTGCTATCTGGGTGGGACTCATTTTCATGCATGGAAGTAAAATGCCTCGTTATATTTATGACCATGCAGCACTCGTAATAGTCTAATAAGAAGGACAACTGGATTCGCAACGGTCGCTTTGTCACGCCCGATGTAGAAAGTTTGTCACTGTGTGGAACGGTAAGACACGGTTGGTATAAAAAAAAAAACTGAGGAATCGATTCTGGAATCGATTCTTTTCGATTCCAGAACCAGGAATCGGAATCGGAATGGAACAGCCCTAATTTAATGACGGAGTGAATATAGGACTGTTCCTCACACTTATGGAACTTTTATGGCATAAAAATTGTTCATTCCCCATTTATGCTAAAGAGATTCTGCAATATATCTTTTGTGTTTTGTGAAAGAAAGAAAACCATAGTTTTGGAACAATATGAGAGTTAATAAATGATGACAGAACTATCATTTTTGGGTCTTGAATCCAAAAACTAATCCTAATAGGAAAAAGAAAAGGTTCTTACCAGGTTTAACCAGGCTTCCACAGGAATCGCACTTAGGAATATCTTTAGAGAAAATTTGATCTGCGAAACATGGATTAAAAATAGTGAAGCGAAAAAACATTGCCGCATCTCATTTAAAACTGCACACAGAGACATGTCAGTGTTCAACACTGCACCTTTCATCCAGTCCATGGAGAACTCCTTGCGACAGAGGAAGCTCACGCAGTGAGAGGTGTGAAATGTGCCGTGAGCTTCAATCAGGTCATCACCCTCCAAACCCGCAACTCTCTCTAGAGTATCGATATTCTGAAAGAATATATATAATGTTTTTCGCTCGCAAAGTGCATTTATTCAAAATATGCAGCCGAACACCGTCTTACCTGAGAGTAGCAGCGACTCAGTAGGCCTTTGTCCTTCAGCATCTTCATGAAATAGTGACACACTGTGGGCTGGAGAAATCAATGCGCATGCAACAGTCAAACTACATTCATCAGATGGGTCATTATTTGTATGTGGCAGTGTTGTAGTCGAGACCAACTCACTCGAGTCCGAGTCGAGACTGAGATCAGAGAGAGTCGAGTCCGAGTCTAGACCGAGTCCATAGAGAGTCGAGACCGAGACCAGAGACGGTCGAGTCCGAGTCGAGACCGAGACCAGTGAGGGTTGATTACCTAATTTACTTTTATTTACTTAGAGAAATCCTTTTTTTTTTTTTTACTGAATTTACTTAGAGTTTAAAAAATATGATCAGTTTAGGGTAAAAAGGCCACATAGTAGGTGGTGTTAAAAGTAATTTTATTACAATTTGTCATGCGCAGTTGCGCACTAGAAAATCACCAATCACTGGGCGTGTCAATCAATTTAAAGAAATATTTTATTAACATACATTAATAATCATGAAAAAGATTTTGAATTGAACACGAGTGGACTCGGGAATAAATCCGAGTCCTAAAAAAAAAAATGTTCGAGTACGAGTCAATTCCGAGTCCAAATGCACACGAGTCCATGACAAGACCAAGACCATTAAAATATGGTCTCGAGACCGAGTCCGAGACGAGTCCGAGTCTCGAGTACTACAACACTGGTATGTGGTACCTTTTTAACCTCATTACATGACAAAGAAGACCATTTAATATGTGTAAAATAATAATAATGAAATGTGGAATCACAGTGTACGCCAAATACAAAATTTTATTTTTCAAATACACATTATACGTCTCTATTCGTTTATTCTATGCTTGCAAACGAATGACTGGTATTTTAAAAACAAATACTCCACACTGCTAAAATTGGATTTATGATAAGACTTTACAATAAGGTCTCATTTGTTAATGCATTAGTTAATGCATTTACTTACATAAACTAAAAATGAGCAATATATATTTTACAGCATGTATTAGGGCCCAAGCCTAAGGGATGAAGGGCCCTATTGTTTCCCTATGGCAAACCTTCAAACTTTCAGGCCATTAACATGCTCAAAAACTCTTGAAACTTCACCCCTTTTCACCTACGGTAACCACACTTCATATATTTATAGATCTCATGGCACCCACTGCTGCAGTAACTGTGGCATACTGAGCCAATTTTGATGAAGGTCTTTTACATTTACCCACTTTAAATAACTTTTGATTTTAATAATGCTGAGATTAACATTAAACTATTATTAAAGGGTTAGTTCAACCCAAAATGAAAATTCTGTCAGTATTTACTCACCCTCATGTTGTTCCAACCCCATAAGACTTTCATTCATCTTCAGAACACAAATTAAGATATTTCTGAGAGCTGGATCACTCCCGCATACTAGTCCATAGGCTTGAGGGATCGAAACTGGCCGGCCCAGAAAAGTTATTAAAGACATCGTTAAAATAGTCCAAGTGACTACAGTGGCTCAATCTTAACTTTATCAAGCGACGAGAATACTTTCACTCGGACACTTTTGAACGATGTCTTTAATAACTTTTGGGCCAGTCAGTTTCGATACTCCACCCAAAAATGAAATTTTTGTCATCATTTACTCACCCCCAAGTTGTTACAAACCGGTATGAGTTTCTTTCTTCTGCTGAACACAAAGGAAGATATTTTAAAGAACGATTGGAATTAAACAGTTGTTTGGCACCATTGACTTTCATAGTAAAAAAAAAAAATACTATGGAAGTCAATGGTGCCAAAGTTACAATCGTTCTTCAAAATATTTTTCTTTATTTGTGAGGTGAACTAACCCTTTAATACATGCTGTAGAAGTTTTGTTCATTGTTAGTTTAAGTTAACTAATGTAATAGGGGTGTAACGATATTCAAAACGAACTGAAAAACCGCGATACAGAACTCACGATTCGAATCGCGATACTCTCATTGGGTACCGAACTTGATTATTTAATGTACGTTTAAAATATCTTTCATGAAAATGACAACTGTGTAAATTATTATATTTAAAAAAAAACACAAGTTAATGCAAAAACTGCTATATGTTCAGTTTACATGTTTTCATACAATGTGTTGTGTGTTGATTATTATATCTAAAAAATAAATAGCATCTGAATTTAGGTTAAAAGTCTAGGCTACAACCTTTAATGTTATAGTAATGTGCGGCTCCCAATATAGTTTACAGCATCAGCGGATTTTTTTTTAATCCTTGTGAAACGTTTAATTGTAATTGAATTAATTTAAAGACAAAGACATTTTTTTCATTAAACCACTGTTTAAAACAAATTTCTAAACCGAACCGAACTGAGACGTCAAAACCGTGGGAAAACCGAACTGTCAGTTTTGTGTATCATTACACCCCCATTAACAAATGAAAACAATACTGTAAAGTTTGCAGGATTTTTCCATTTGAAGGAAAAGAGTATACAGATTCATAAAGTACCTTAAACTGTCCCGGGTATAGCTCTCTGGCCAGAGCGAAGAAGGGCTCCGGATGTTTCTGGAAAAAGACTTTCAAATATGACTTTTGTCCTCTTAGATGACAAACAATGAAAGTAAGACAGCAGCATTTCTTCAGAATCACAACCAGACCTTGAAATAGTCGATCTGAAAGATGGCCTCAGGGTAAGGCAGGTTGTACTTCTGCAGATTGGCGTATAGACCAGTGCCAGGAGAACGGAAATCTGGGATTCCAGCAGCTAAATTATAAGGAATTTACAGGTTAGTTAAAGGCACACTATGTAACTATCACAGTTTAAATAACAGTTCAGATTCAGATTGAGTCAATACATCATCAATCCTTCTTCTAAAACATGTTTTTGACTTAACCTAATTCACGTTAGCGTTTATATTTTAGATCTGACATGATGGTTTTTACAGGAAACTGATGTTTCATCAGTTGCTCCAACTACTTTGACGTGTGTCTGGTGTTGAAGTGTCTGAGGTTAGTCGTCACAGCGAGTGAGAAAGCTTGACATGGAGCAGGTAAATCTCCAACCTCCAGGAATCACCCGTTTTAAACAAACGGCGAACAGAGGAGCGTCTGCTGGAGAGAAGGGAACGCGACAGAGCTCGTAATAAAACAAGAGCCAACATTGGATTGGCTTTTCAGAGATGACGAGAACTGAGGGATTTGAAATGTTGTAGAAGCGATGCAGAGATGGTGCTTTTATTACTCAATAGGCGAGTACGGTATTTAACTGAACAGATAAACTGCCATGTAGCTCTCTAGCTGAGTTCATTGTAAAGCATTGATGGGTAAAGCTACAGTAACGTCTTCGGGTAGTCAGCTTTCCATCTAAACTGGTTATACAGGGGTTGGACAATGAAACTGAAACACTGGCCAATGTTGGAGGTTTCACATCTATATGCCTGGCGGCCAATCTTCAGAGTGAAGCACGGGTGGATCAGTGATGGTTTGAGCTCCAATATCATGACAATCCTGATTGTATTTGATGGACACGACACTGCCGAGGACTACCAAACCCTTCTGGAGGATCATGAGCACCTGATGCTCAAACCGTGTATCAGCATGATCATGCACCAACACACACAGCAAGACTTGTGACAGAAGGGTTTGATGAAGATGAAAGTGACGTTGAACATCTCCCATGGTCTGACAGTCACCAGATCTGAATATTATTGAGGTGTTTTGGAGGAGCGAGTCCACCAGCATCATATAGTGACCTGGACACGGCTCATAATCCCTCTGGTCACTGTGAAGGACTTCTATCTGTCAATTGGTGCTGTATTTGGATGCAAAATGAGGCCCTCACCATTCTAACAAATTATTGTGTAGTAAAACCAGGTGTTTCAGTTTTTTTGTCCAACCCCTGTATGTATTATAGATCATTTTAACAGACTGCAGCTTTAAATAATGAGTCAATACATCATCATCAATTCTTCTCCCAAACCGTGTTCTTGTCTTAACCTATTTATTTGCATTATTTGAGGTCTGGCATCTTTTTTGTTATTTTGACCAATTATTATTTTCTCAAAAAAATAAAATGCTCTAAATGTCAATATTTTTATCTGAATTTAAGAAATGCCATCACTAGTTTATAGAATAAAACAAAAAATGCTGATTTTACTTAAAACACATACTTATAAATATCAAAATCAGAGAAAGCAATTCTTTTGCAGTAATCTCTTATTTTCCCCCAGAACTCTATAAAATACAGCAGCACAAAATACTACAAGTACTGTTTAATTCTAAGGATCAGTGGTAAGAAATGGTCTAAAAAACTAAATTATGACTGCATTTATCCAAGAAACATAGGCCAGTGGTTATAAAAATGCTCTGTCATTATAACAGGTCTATAAAAAAATCAGGATATGATCTATTTAAAAACAACTATGCTTAATTTAATTGCATTTTATGATAAGATATTTACTTACATGTAGATATTCCAGCTCCAACCATACAGATAATGTTCTTACCTGTTGACACAGACAGACACATCAATCATCCTGAACAACCGACTCCTCAAACAGAGTCATATTTTCACAGCACCAGTGTTTATACTGTTCAGGAAGCCAACCTGTTAATTGGCTTTCTTATGGTTGGCTGTACACATTGAATGGAATATAAGAGTATTTTAACTTTAAAAAATGACACACTTCACACCTACCACCCTCATCTGAGAAGTCAACTCACATTTGCCACTAAGGATGTAGCGAGCGACCGCATCCAGGGTCAGCTCATCCAAGACTTTCTCTCCAGGACTCAGACCGAGAGTCCGCGAGAAGAGACTGCGCAGGAAATCCACTGAAAAACATCTTAACTTTAGCCAAGATCACATGAGCTCTTTAGATGTACTTAAAGGGGAAATTCCTTGACACATACTCTCAGTGTCTCCCGAAGCTTCGCCCTCGTCACTGCTGTCGTCAGACTGACCCTGCAAAAAAAAGTAACCGAGATTACCAATCCACTCCAATAATAGAAAACAACACCCATTCTTAATAAATGTCTTAATAATATGTGTAACTGCACATGGTGGATGTTTGCTAAATGTACTTGTCTCATGTTTGTCTGACATATTCATCACTTATATACACACACGTTTTGTGAAAGAAAAAACAGAAATTTGGCCTTTTTTAATAATTGCCATTGGTTGATAACGATTCCTGCTTGATTAACAGATGTATTAGTTCCATTCATGTCAGTTTCAAATTCTATTGGCAGCTTTTCAATTTTCAATTTCTATTTTTTGTGTGTAAAACAAACCTTTTATTAATTAAATTAATTATAATAATTTGTATTATTTCATTTCTACTTAACATTTAACCACTGAAAAAAATATAGACCAATAATAATGTTGATATTTATAACAATAATGTAGCACTACCATAGTAAAGTGATGGCACAAAGTAGTAATACCATGGTATTTTGGTATATTTCAGAGCAATTCAAAGAACACCATGTACTTCCAAGCTGCAAAAAAGGGTATTTTAGCATTTGAAAAGCCCCAAATTACATGTTATTACTATGGTACATGGTCTTGATGAGTATAATGATGTTTTTAGTGCCGTGTTCCAGGTATAATGAACATATAATGTATAATAAATACTAACACACATGCATCTCAAGATTGTATCTTTATTTACCTCGAGATCTGGTGTCTCAGCCTCCTCTTCTGCCCTTTTAGAAACCTCTACAGGACACAATAATCATATCACACTGATGTGACTGTCAAAATAACAAATATCAATCACGCAAACAGCGAAAAACTTCCAATACACACTTAGCTTTCTCTTTTGCTAAAGGCTAACTGGATCTGACAACACCCATTTATACAAAAAGGCATAATCATTATTACCTTCAGACATCTATCCGCTTTCAAACAGTACTATACAATTCCAAAACACATAAAGTTAAGAGATGACAGCACTGTTTTTGTTTTTTTTATTAAAGGGACAGTTGCTTGTGTGCGTCGCTAATATTTCTTTGGATGGCTTGGCTAATGTTGATAGTAGATGTTTGATATGGCACATACACAGTTGATCCTCAAGGGGGCGCATGGAGGCTCAGTTTGCCATCTCTTTATATTTTTGGAGAAACATATACACTAAAAGTATGATGATTTAAATTCATTAAAGTAAATGATTGGTACCTCACAAATGAAAACCCGGCCTTGTAATGGATATAAAATTAAAACACGGATCGGGCGATCACAAACGACTGTGATCCTTCCTGACAGAGATGAGAAAAGATACACGCATCACATGATATGCCATTTACGCTTCTCATAAAAAATAATTTACACCCGTATAATGAAACTGAAAATGTTCAGCTATTTAATTTTTATTTATTTATCGCATCTGACCAATTAGAGACCAATAGAGCTTTTGGACCTCGCGTGCACACCCAGTTCGGCTATCGTGAAAATTACCATTATTTACAATTCTATATTATTTATTTCTACATAATATTTCACTGCAATTTATTGATCAGATCTTCCGGTGCAAACTAATGATTTGTTCTTATATTATATTTGTTCAAAACATTTGTTTCAATGTAGTTGTTATAAACCGTAAAGTCAACTTTTAAGTCTAATATTTCTCTCTTTTTTTGATTGAACGTCGCGTTTGTTTCAATATTTAACGTTACATCAAATAAAACATTACCTATAGCGAGATTTCTTCATCCACCTTTCCATTGCATGTGCCTCAGTCTTTCTAACACTTAGACCTAGTATCCTCACACCTCTATAAAAAGGATTACAGGATTTACTCCACCTAATTAGACTCAACACCTTTTATGGATGGTCCCATAGTATTACCATGTATCACCACAGTGCTGTTTCATTAGGGAAAGTGGTAGCACTTTATTTTACACGGCTTTGCATGTACATAGCATGACTAACTGCGTCCTAACCTTCTCTCATAACTACATTGCTCAGTTTTTTTGTGGTAAGTAAAGTGCAAGTGGGAATGCAGCGATTTATATGGAATAAATCATGTTTTAAGAACAAGAACACTTACACATACAACTTTATTGTGTCTGTCTTGTAAGTACAATATATTTTACAACAGTTATTTATAAGTACACAGAACATTCATGGGTGCATCACAATAACTCAGCCATGTACTTTATAAATGTCTGACTGCAGTGTTTGCTGACGCTTCATGATCCTCCTCTGTTGGCTCTCGGGTGTCTGGCTGGATCAGGCCCTGTTCGTATTCAGCTCCAGTGACCCGACAGTGCGGAAGCATCTCCTCCAGCAGGATCCGGACCAGGCCTGGACTCTGAAGCCGGGCAAGTCCCGAAATATCCAGACGCTGTAGCTTTCTGTGGGGTAAAGGCAGAGGGGGTGAATAACACAATAAATGATTCAAATAACATAGAAAATTAGGTTTGATTTGGTTATTTGTTGTCCTAAAAAAAAAATTGGGACACATGTCAGACTAAAATATCAATCAAGGGACTACTAAAACGGTATGTTCAGTCACAGGTGAAGAGTGATTAAATCACCTGAGGTTTTGTAATGCAGCGAGACCTCCTACAGTGACTCTAGGGCAGTGGGACACGTCTAACTCCACTAGACTTTCTCCAAAGACATGAAGACGTGCAAGAAACCAGTCGTCCACTTCAGGACATCCTCGCACAGAGAGACTCTGGAGTTTATTCTGCTTTACTGAGAAGATACAATTTGTTTGAGTGAGCCAGAGAACAAAAATACACCGCGATGATATGTTTTACTGGCAGCTGAACACTTTTCATGTTATGTTCCCATTTGATTCAGGAAGGGATTTTCTGTTGGCTACGTCTATATTGTTCACCGTCAATCATGACAACTCCCAGAACAGATGTAAACAGCGTTTATTGATAAGAATGGAAAGCACATTGGCTTAAAGGAGTAGTTCACTTTAAAAAAAAAAAAACTTTTGCTGATAATTTACTCACCCCCATGTCATCCAAAATGTCCACGTCTTTCTTTCTTTAGTCGAAAAGAAATTAAGGTTTTTGATGAAAACATTCCAGGATTTTCTGCATATAATGGACTTCATTGGGAACCAAATGGTTCAAGGTCCAAATGAGAGTTTCAGTGGAGCTTAAAGGGCTTTAAACGACACCAGACGATGAATAAGGGTCTTATCTAGGACCCTTCGAGTCATGACTTGAAAAAAGATTTGTTCATTTTGATGAACGAGTTCGAACAGGAGAGTCACGAACGCTCATCACAGAACAGAGCAAGGCGAGCAATTTGTGCTTATAAAACTTAAACTTTATTTATTTATTTTTTTAAATGACCGATCGTTTCGCTAGGTAAGACCCTTATTCATCGTCTGGTGTCATTTAAAGCCCTTTGAAGCTGCACTGAAACTCTCATTTGGACCTTGAACCGTTTGGTTCCCATTGAAGTCCTTTTTAACTGAAGAAAGAAAGACATAGACATCTTGGATGACATAGGGGTGAGTAAATTATCAGCAAAAGTTTTTTTTTAAAGTGAACTGCTCCTTTAAGGCCCATTCACACCAAGAACAAAAAAAACAACATAATTTGGCTTCAAAATAAGGAAGGATTTCCTACTTGACTAGTCAAAGGCTGAGACATCAGGAGAAGTTGATTACCAAGGTTGTCAAGTCCATTGTGGTTTATTATGCTGCCACTCAGATCCACTTCCTCTATTTGTGCGTCAGGTTTGCTCATGAAGTCATACCTGAATCTTCCTCTCGAGTCTGGACGAAACCATTCAGATTGGCCTGCAAATCTAGAGAGACACAATGGAGCAATGGAGACCATCTACTAGCTGGATGGGTTCATAAACGTTTTATGATCAATGAAGTGTCCAAAAATTTATTTAATATCAAGTAAAAAAGTTGGTTTCATATTGTTATATTTCATATACAAACTTTTGTACCATTCATTTCAATACCATTATTATTTTAAATGAAAAGTGAACTATCCCTTTAAGGACTTCCTGTCCATGACACACATTCTGCAGGTCCTCTCTATGATCTCATTTCCTGCATCACAAGTAATTAAGCAGTTTTGTTTGACTTTACAATAAGGTCTCATTTGATAACATAAGGTAATACATTAACTAACATAAACTAACAATGAACATTCTCTTACATCATTTATTAACCTTTGTTAATATTGGTTTAAAAACTAAATATCATGTTCATGTTAGTTCATTAGAATGGCATGAAAGCTAGAAGGTTTTGCCATGTGCTATGTGAACACAAAAAAAGGTTAAATGAAAAAGATAGTCACACTTGTACAAAAATGACCGCATTGGAAATTAATGGGAAGCGAATTTCATCTAGTGGAAACGTTTGGTACAAGAGACCCAACTTTAGCCTGTGTTACAAAGCATCTCATTTTCAGGTCTATGCTCAAAAAGTTAATAAATGGATTATAGCTACTTTATAAATATATATTTTAGTACCATAAAATCCCCTACAAATAGAAAAGATTAAATAAAAACACCATAGAACTAAAATATGGTAAATTAATTTAATTATTTCTGAGCGCCACGCGAGGAACACCATACATTAACATTAACTAAGATTAATAAATGTTGCAGAAGTATTGTTTATTGTAGTTAATTTAGTTAACTAATGTTAACCAATGAAACCTTATGTTTTTTCTTCATGATGCCCTGCATTTCTGACTTTATGCCCTCAATTACCTTTAATTCAGAAAAAAAGATTCAGCAGTAAAATGTGTATTCAATTAATTAATGTTTGAATTTCATTTTAATGTACTTTTTAATTGATTATCACACATAAAAAAATAGGATATAAAAAACGGGCATCATATCATGGACTCTTACCTGAAGCTCCCTCTGAGAGTCAGAATATAATAGGCCGCTCCTATATTATCACCAAAATTCTGCTGTACATAACCATAAAACCTACAGAAAAAAAGACCTTAAAGTAAACATTTCAGAAATAAATAAAAAATGATTCCCTTTTAGAGTGCACTATTCGATTGGGCAACAAGACAACATAAACAACACATCTGAGCACACATACACTGGCACTTACGTATTCTTGCTTTGGACCAGTTTCGTCCTTGCCCAGTGATTCCAACCTACAATGTGCTCCACATCATAGAAGTAGCGATTGAGTTTTAATAAGAGCCCGTTGAAGACGGATGGAGGAGCAGCTGAACTCAAACCCCTCCTGACAGCAACAGCAGCAGCAGCAGCAGCACAGGTGTGTGCTGAACATCTCCGCATGCCATGGGACTTATATAAAGAGACAATATATGAGACAGAAAGATCATTTGCAACATGATGCTACTAAGAAGATGAACACATTTCAAATTAAAAAGCAGCTAACAACAAATTATTAAACTAATAATATATAGAATGTGAAACTGTAGCGTGAATTTAGCCCTCACAGAAGTACTGCGGTTTCATGGATGATAGACCTGTACGGTGCAGTGATATATAACGCAAGTGCCATGACATATATAAAGGTTACAATTATAATTCTGAACAATCAGCCTTCTTTACATTCATGAGAACATGAGATGAATTAATTTCTTTAGGTGACATTTTAAACATTGATTTTTACCAGCATCTAATATTTCTGAAAATACCCCATACGTGGTCCTGGATTAATATTAATATTAATACTAAACATTATTGGAACAGTTTCTTTGAAATAGCCTATTTAATTTAAATAATACGTTCATTAATTAAAATTATGTCATTCTGCGTCAGGAATTGATTTAATTCCTGAATTTGAATCGAATTAATTGATTCCTTGACAATACATTTTAGGTAGCTACTTCATAACCCCATGGTACCAGGTAACTTACAACAACTAAACATCACATTACCATGGTATAAACATGGTAACATGGTGCATTTTGCTAGGGTTTTTTTTTTTTTTTTGGTAGAATAAAACTTTGCACGAATTTCTCGGTTATAAAACTAACCAAATTGTAATTTTGGCGTGTGTTACGGAGAGAAATACAACAGTAACAATTTCCTCAATAACGAAATATGCTCGCAGGACAGTTGAACTCACCAGCAAGGAGGCCGCCATGTTTGTTTTGATCTTCTGTAATTTCAGAGATTTGACGTTAGGAGGCGCGATCTCAGCGAACCCAATGAACTAATGTCTACATACTTTTTAACTGAGTTCGGATTAGTTTTGTATTGTAGACATTTGATTGTCTTGTTTGTATAAGAAAAAAAGAACATTAGCAGTTAATAGTCTCATGTCAATGGTGTGTGTGTGTGTGTGTGTGTGTGTGTACACACAGTTTGCACGTACATGTTTTGACCAGCAGATGTCGCCACCATGTGGTGTTGTGAGCTTACTAAAAGTGAATAATTTCGATTGGATCAGTTGATTGGGAGCTTCGAGAAAAGCTGTTTCTCCACTACTTGGGGAAGTTGCTATGCTAATCCCAGACTGACTTTCTTGAGATCAGTTGTGTGGGCCAGAAAATCTGTTGCAAGACTTGGACATTCAAAATGAAATTTCCTGAAGGTAAGTAGCCCGAGTGGTTGAAAACAAAGAGCTAATTGCACACCTCCAAAAGGTTTGTCTTTGGACCTGACGCAAGCACTCTCACAGATTGAAACACAAACATCCTGCAAATTGAATAACTTAAAAAGTCCTGCTTATTACAAAAAAAAGAGCATCTGTGCGTGGACAGTTTATGACCTTATTGACTTAAATAGTATGGGGAACAAATGCAATGGAAGTCAATGGTCCCATCCATTGTTTGGTTATACATTTCTTCAAAATATATTCTTTTGTGCTTAGAAGAAGAAAGATACTCATCTGGGTTCGGAACAACTTGAGGTAGAGTAATGAATACTAGCCCTGTTGCTCTCTAGTGACCCTTACCAACCCAAATGCCTTCCATCTCCCAATTCAATCATTTATATATTGAAAATATATTTTCTTTTCATAAGGGCAGCTGTAGGAACCTTAAATATGAATATTAACTTTAGGTTTAACAAGCACTCTACAATAAATAATTTATTCAGTAAGAAACCATATAATAATCAAGATCTTGTGTGTCCGTGTTTGGGGATGTACCAGCTTGTGATGTATTTTATTAATGGCTGTTTGTTAACTCCTCACTCTTATATAGGAAAATATATTTTCTTTTCATATGAATGATCAATAAATTAAATGGTTTAACAGTATATTTGTATATAACCGTATATTACAATATACACTCACCTAAAGGATTATTAGGAACACCATACTAATGCTGTGCACCTTCAGAACTGCCTTAATTCTACGTGGCATTGATTCAACAAGGTGCTGAAAGCATTCTTTAGAAATGTTGGCCCATATTGATAGGATAGCATCTTGCAGTCGATGGAGATTTGTGGGATGCACATCCAGGGCACGAAGCTCCCGTTCCACCACATCCCAATGATGCTCTATTGGGTTGAGATCTGGTGACTGTGGGGGCCATTTTAGTACAGTCAACTCATTGTCATGCTCAAGAAACCAATTTGAGATGATTCGAGCTTTGTGACATGGTGCATTATCCTGCTGGAAGTAGCCATCAGAGGATGGGTACATGGTGGCCATAAAGGGATGGACATGGTCAGAAACAAAATGCTCAGGTAGACCGTGGCTTTTAAACGATGCCCAATTGGCACTAAGGGGCCTAAAGTGTTTCAAGAAAACACCCCCACACCATTACACCACCACCAGCAGCCTGCACAGTGGTAACAAGGCATGATGGGTCCATGTTCTCATTCTGCCAAATTCTGACTCTACCATCTGAATGTCTCAACAGAAATCCAGACTCATTAGACCAGGCAACATTTTTCCAGTCTTCAACTGTCCAATTTTGGTGAACTCTTGTTAATTGTCGCCTCTTTTTCCTATTTGTAGTGGAGATGAGTGGTACCCGGTGGGGTCTTCTGCTGTTGTAGCCCATCCGCCTCAAGGTTGTGTGTGTTGTGGCTTCACAAATGCTTTGCTGCATACCTCGGTTGTAACGAGTGGTTATTTCAGTCAAAGTTGCTCTTCTATGAGCTTGAATCAGTCGGACCACTCTCCTCTGACCTCTAGCATCAACAAGGCATTTTCACCCACAGAACTGCTGCATACTGGATGTTTTTCCCTTTTCACACCATTCTTTGTAAACCCTAGAAATGGTTGTGCGTGAAAATCCCGGTAACTGAGCAGATTGTGAAATACTCAGACCGGCCCGCCTGGCACTAACTTTCTTTCCCATTCTGACATTCAGTTTGGAGTTCAGGAGATTGTCTTGAGCAGGACCACACCCCTAAATGCATTGAAGCAACTTCCGTGTGATTGGTTGATTAGATAATTGCATTAATGAGAAATTGAACAGGTGTTCCTAATAATCCTTTAGGTGAGTGTATTGGATAATACATAAGCAATTGCAGATTTTCATATATTGAATTAATTTTCTAATATATTATAATGAGTAAAACACTTCATAATATATGTATATGTGATCAAAATGGTGTTGCATGTGGAATATGTAATATTGCATTATATTTGGCAGTAGATTCTCTTCAGTTTAGTTCTGCCGCAAGTACCCACGATGTTCACTCATCCCCTTGTTTTCCCTTCCCATACCTCCTTGTGTAGCCCTTAGCTGCATCCCTGCCTGCACTTGCCAAGTCACCTTTATTTATCGCTTTACACTTATAAAAAGTTATGATTCAATGATGCAAACATCTGCTGTAAAGCAGCTCTAAAAAGACAATAGTAAACGGTCACTATTCAGTTTAAATCCGTTAGTCAGTTCTGGTATGAGCTGAGTTGATCTATAAAGCCGCTCTGTGGAAAACATAGGGTCATAGGGTCTGCCAGGACTTTCCTGGTTCTCATGGTCTTCCCAGGGTATCTGTCTCTAGTTGTCATGGTCTCTGCTTACATTCAGGGCTGTGTTTTGGTCCTGACTATGGAAACCTCTGGATAAGGATGAGACAGACTAATATAAGCATAGATGCAATTCCTCTTATGATGTAACTAGTACATCAGATTTTATGGGAAATGCTGTGAAACTTCTTTGCACTATATATTGTATGTTTGTTCATATTGATTTTCCGTTTTTTCTCCATTCTGTCTTGTGTTTATTTCATGTCTTGTCTCATTTTATCTCAATAAATATATGATTGTTGAGATCTCTTCTAAAACTATATAAGAGATTGTGAGTCTCTGAGTCTGTTAGGGGTATCAGGAAACAAGTGTGAGGAGGACTCAAGGAGACTCAAGCAAAAGTCTCCATTTGATGTCAAAGTAACCTCATTTTTTTGTCTAGGAGAGACAGTTGAGATGTTAAAGTGATACCCCACCCAAAAATGAAATTTTGTCATCATTTACCCTCAAGTTGTTGCAAACCTGTATGAGTTTGCTGAACACAAAGGAAGATATTTTGAAGAAGGATTGATGACAGAATTTTCATTTTTGGGTGGAGTATCCCTTTAAAGAGATCTGTTTTTTTTCAGTTTTTTTTCTATGGGATGTCTGCTTCCCAAACGAGGCTAGGAAGACTGTTCCAATGTTTTGCTGCTAAATAGGAAATAGGACAATTGATTTTTATATTCTAGGTATTATCAACTGGCCAGAATTAAGACTGTAATGCGTTATGACTATGAGCTCGCTAAAGTACCAGGGCGCTAAACCATTTAATACTTTATGAGTTATCAGCAATATTTTAAAATGCAATCATCTGGATAACTCGAGCTGCTGCGTTTTGGACCAGCTGGAGTTTGTTTATTAAGCGTGCAGGGCAACCACCCATAAGAGCATTACATAAATCTGGCCTTGAGGCATGAACTAACTTTTCTGCATTTGTCACCAAGAGCATATGTTGTAATTTAGATATACTTTTAAGATTAAAAAATACTATTTTTTAATTCTAGAAATGTGGCTTTTAAATGAAAGGTTGGTATCAAAGAGCACACCTAGGTTCCTAACCAACGGTGAGGACTTGACTGAGCGGCCATCAAGTGTTAGACAGTATGCTGGGTTAATACGTGTGAATTTTCTTTGCTGTAAGTATTGTGTTGCATATGGTTTTGTTCTGTGTCAGCTTGAGTCCTTTGCCTTGTCCTGCCCGGGGTTTAGCGTCGACCTTCTGTTGGCCTTTGCCTTCTAGCCTCAGTCAAGCTCCTTGACTTTTGGTTGCAGGCTCGAACTGACTCCTGGTTTCTGACCTTCTGCCTGGCTCTAACTTTCCTTTGTGTTTGACTTCCCGACTGTCTGCTTCTTTAATCTGACCATCTGGCTTTGACCCTCCCCCCGCCTGGCTCTGGCTTTGCCCTTGTGTTTGCCCTGCAGTCTGTCTGTTTCCCTTGTCGGACTACCTGGCTCAGACCTCTGCCTGGATATTACCGATCTCCCTGCCTTCACCTTGCTGGTTGGTGTTAGTCCTGGTTATCTGACCAGTCAACTATTTCCCTTATATATTGGGGGGATACTGTATTTAGATGGACTTTATATCTTTATTTTAGGGATGCACCGATATGAAAATTTTGGCCGATACCGATAACCGATAATTCTTTATATTTGAAAGCCGATAACTGATATATCGGCCGATAAACTCAAATCCAAATATGTATTTAATTTTAGAGCCTGATTACAAAAACAAAAGTCTCCCAATTAAATCCATGTCCCAAGCGCACAATTATAATGATGTTCTCATTATAGTATAGCCGACATGACAGATATGCGCTGCACATGTTGTACCAACATTTTCATTTTTTGAAGAGATTTCAATCCTATTTCAAGAAATTCAAAAACATAAACAGTGCTCAACAAGTGGCTCAGCTGAAGGGAATAATACATTATTTATCAGCTTTAATATATCGGCAACGTTTTCTTACCAGGCCGATAACAATAACATTAAAAATGAACATATATCGGCCGATATCGATATGCTGGCCGATAGCCTATGCATTTAGGACACCCTTTACATTCAACCAGCATCCAGAGGCTATGAAATATATAACCAAGAAGCTTCAATGTATTTGGTCAAACTGTTAGTGGTAGCTCCAAATGAACTAAAGAGGATGGTATTTTGCAGATTGAGTGCCCATGGGCTGCTCAAATATAGTTACAGGGTGGCAACAAATCCTGACAAAATCAAAATCAAGGATATCACTGTAGAGTTCATAA